TTTCCGCGAAATTTTCCTATTTGTATCGGTTTAAATTAAAAGAATTGAATTTAATCTACTCTTTTAAATGCTACTGCATGTGTTTTGTACATATATTTAATCACTGTATTTGATTGTTGCGTCTGTTTGCTGAAAGGAAAATTTGAATTCATTTGAAATTGAATGGCGCACTATTTGAAAAATTATGTTTATGTTTATGATAGTGTTTAATCATTTTGCTTTGCGAAGAAGTAGGGCTGTCCCTTACGTTATTGTTTTGTTTAATTTGCAAGTTGACCTATGCGCATCGGTGATTAATTTGGTTGAATTAATTCTGTAGTTGAACATTGATGCTTTTGAAAAATTAATTGAAATATGAGCATAGGACTACTTGTCTAACGGGCTAGCTAGTTTTGGAGATTATCAGATTGAAATCAGCTGCCGCACTATTTTAGTAAATGATAATATGGTGGGTGGCCTGGCTAGGCCTACTTGTTGAAAATTCATACTAGGGACTATCTGTGCGTTTCGTTCGGCTCTCCACAGACGACGTTCATGTGGAATTTGTGGGTGCTCTCTGCACTGAAGCTTAGGAGGCCGCTCGGGGCCGCTTCGTGTCGCGTCGCTGTTTGCAGACCTGATCCGGTCGGATTGCGGAACTAATCGTAGGGGCACAGATAGGTGTTTGAAAGAGGTCGTCGGACTTCTGTCCAGTACAGGACTTATTAAAGTGCTGCGATGCCCAGGAGGGGCATCCAGTGGAGGCTGACCCTCCGGCTTGCCACATTAGGGCTATTTTTTGAGGCGCTGGTTAGGGTTGCAAGATCTGATGGGGTGCCTAAGGTGGCCTGGTTTGGTTGTAGATTCGGTCTTGCAACTTGCCTTCGCGACCTTGTCCCGCTGACCGGTTTGCTCGCGGACCTAAATCCTTATGTCCGGGACGGGGGTTTGTTCGCGCAAAACACTTTCAAGGATTGACGCGAGAGGGCGCTCGGCGCGGTGCATTCATACCGGTTTGACTTTCGGTCGTGCGAAAAACGCCCAAGGGCAGGCAGTCGTCCATAATCGGTGCTGACGTGAGCACGCGGTCCATTCTGTTAGGGAACTCGGAATAATTCGGCGCGGCCAGTAAATATACGGTCTATCATTGTGACGCGCATTCCTACTGGAGAGATTCCCGGGACTTATTGTGTCTGACTCAAAACCTGAATAAGTGCATTCGGCAATATTAGATAGTGCTGCCTCTGATATTCTAGAATTAACTATTGCTACGCGAAACGGTAGTGACCTTTGACCCTTTAAACTCCGTGTGCGTTTGTGCGGGAACCATTATACCCAGCGATAGTTAGTGGCTTCTGTAAGTTAGTAAATCGTACGATAGAGTTAATTGACTGGCAACGTGACGAAAGAAGAAAGTGACTGTGGACTACCTCGAAAGGCGCCCTCAAGTTGGAGCGGTGTCGACGCTCAGGCTGCTGCCGACGGCCAAGGTCTAGGTTCAATCACCATCAGTCACACCCAGATACACACCACATCACCATTCCTTCCCTTGCACTACACAACCACATGCGACCTGACCGACTCCGGAGGGACCAGTCGCCTTGGATAGGTAAGTAAGCTTCATCCAAATTCCTTCCGGTCGACTGGCCGTAGTATAACGCTCCCCCATATATTTTAATGTAATTAGGAATTTCCACGTGGCCACATTGGGGCCCGACCTACGTCTGTTCGGGAAATCTTCAGCTCATGGGCCCCTGAAGATTGGATCCTTTAAGGGAGCAGCCGTAGTCCGTAACACTCTTATTGCCTGTTATTGTTAGCACAGCACTACAAATATAAAGCGCTGACATAACCTTGTAATAGCGCAGTATAGATTTAGAAAAATATTGTTTATCAAGTTATTTGACACTCAGTTTGGCACAAAATTATAACATTGATATAATAATGTTGTTTTAATACTCATCAATTGTTAAAACGGTAAACAACCAGCAAAACTATTTTTATCGTAACTGCAACGCCATTACAAAGTTACGTCGTCAGTTCAATCGCGACGTGTCAGGAACGCATTCTCTGAACGACCGAACTATAGTATATCCTATTTAGTAGCAATTTAGTAGTCTGTGCTATATAGACTAATTTATATCTGTGCTCTGTGTTCCTGTCTCTTAATTTTACTTTTTTTTTTTTTTTTGGCGGGAACTTCAAACGAGGCGGTCGATTTAATTTTTATATTTATCGTTAAAATATCCTGTTCGGTGTAAATAATTGTACATTTTGTAAATTGTTAAAATGAATGAACCGGAGGATCCAGGTGGAACCCCGAAACGATCCAAAATTGTTCGTAAAAGAGGTACGAAGGAAAGTGGACCTGAAGTAGGCGGCGGTGAGGATGACTTTATTCCGTTTTTTAAGCCAAGTTATCTGAGACTTTATCCTGAACATTGTACAAATACGGACTTCAAAGTTTTTGTTGAAAGCCAGGACAAACAGGTTAAACTTGGAAATAAAAGCCCAGTTTACTTAAATCATATTTTTACTTCGGAGGTGAAAGGTGTGGTAGCTTTACATAGAGTCAATGCCAACAAAATTGCGGTTGTTTTTAAACAATACAACACTGCAAATAATTTCATCACAAATACAGACTTTTTAACAAAGCACAACTTGAAGGCGCATATTCCTGCAGCGCAGATAGAAAAAACTGGAATCATCCGATATGTGCCTACCAACATTTCGAACAAGGAATTATATACGAAACTGTCTTCGATTTATGAAATTATTTCAGTGAGAAGGTTCACGAAAAAAGTCGGTCAAAGTACTGTAGGTCTCGAGACGGTCAGTATAACTTTCCTATCAAATGTTCTGCCCGACAACATCCAATATGACCTATTTTCGTTCAGGGTGTTTGAATATGTCCCACCGTTACAACAATGCTTCCGGTGCTTCAAGTTCAACCACCCTGCGAAAATTTGTAATGGTAAACAACGTTGCTCGATATGTGCTGGGGAACATAATTTCAGAGACTGTGATAAAAAAGAAAACCTGTGTTGTGTCAATTGCAGTGGTCCCCACCTGGCCATTTCCAAATCTTGCCCAATAAAAATGAAAAAAATACTTGAAAAAAAGGGTAAAATTACTTATGCCTCTGTAGCTAATACAATTAAGTCATCTGATTTTCCGTCTTTACCTGCACAGTCGAGCAGCATTGTTAAGACCCTACCATCAATAAACCAAAATGTACATAAATTAAATAAAAATGTAAAAATTGTAAATAATGTAAATAAAACAGTGCCTGAACCCAACTTGAACCAAACTCAACTTAAGGCTCAAATTGCAAACCATAAGAATATTTTGATGGCAATGGTCCAAACTTTAGTCGAATTAGGTAATAAAACAGATAATGAACCTGTGACTACACTGTTCATTAAAGACTTACTTTTAAAAAATCTGTCACAATAATGGACAGTACAGTACAGAACATACAGCAGTTATGTATAGCTCAGTACAATATTCAAAGTATACATAGGAAAAAATCCTTATTGTCTAAATTTTTAGGTGAGCAAAATGTTGATATATGTCTACTCAATGAAACTTGGCTGAAAGATACTCAGCATTTTAACATTTCGGGATATAATTTCCACTATCATAATGCCCAAAATGAGCATGGTGGAGTAGCAATTTTGATCAAACCGTATTTTAAATATAATATTATTCAAACCAGATTTTACCAAGACATTCAGACTGTGGCATTATTGTTATATGTAAGTGGTAAACAATTAACGATTTTATGTATATACTGCCCTCCATCGAATGGTAACTTCAGAATAAGTAAACTGCGTGATATAATTAGAGATTTGCCTAAGCCAATATATGTGGCTGGAGATTTCAACGCTCACCATGTGGCATTTGGGTGTATGACCACGAAAAGTCGGGGTCATCAGTTATACGATTTAATTGATGAATTTGATCTATGTGTCCTCAACAATGGTAGCTTCACTACTATTAATTATCCTAACCGAAATCCATCGGCTATTGATGTCAGCTTTTGTAGTGCTTCAATCGCTCCACTATGCGAATGGTGGGTGCATAATGATTGTATGGGGAGCTATCATTTTCCTACGCTTACTCGTGTTTCATTGTCAGTTGATAGATACCAAATTAATCCTCCCATTGAAAAATTCTTATACAACAAGACAGACTGGACAAAATACAATGAGCTGTCTATAACTGCTTTTTCTAATTTTGAAGTTAATAATGAGAATCCATTACAGTCATATGATGAATTTATTGAAAGGCTTGATACACTTAGGAGAGATACTGTGCCAAAGTTTGTCAAAGCAAACAAATTTCGTTGCAAACCTCCAGCACCTTGGTGGAGTGACACATGTGAACAGAGTGTTATTAAAACTTATGAAGCTTTAAAACTGTACAGAAGAGATCCAACCATTGATAATTACATTAATTACAAAAGACTTAATGCTGTTAAGAAAAAGACTATTTCAGAACATAAACGCAATGGTTGGGCTAACATTTGTAATACTTTTAACAGAACTACACCTGTTAGTATTATTTGGAAATACATCAAGTTATTTAAACGAATAAAATGCAATAATAGAACATATAAAGACGAATTTGTAGTCCCTCTTTTAGACAAATTATCTCGAAATGGATGTAGGGTTATTGATAATCTAGAAAGTTATTTTCAAATTAATAATAGTCTTCAGAAGTCCAGTTTCCTCATAGAACCCTTTACTTGGAGTGAGTTTTGTACAAGTTTACAATCCAGACGAAACACAACCCCTGGTTTAGATAATTGTCCATACATTTTGATCAAAAACCTAAATCCACATGTTCAATATGGCTTCCGGAGAGGCAGAAGTTGTGCTGACAGCTTCATCTCTCTCTTGTCAGATCTGAAATATGCCAATAATAATAATAAGTCCAGTGTTTGTGTTTTTCTGGATATTGAAGGTGCGTTTGATAATGTAGATCCTGGCATTTTGGTTCAAGTTCTTTCTGACATTGGTATACCAGGCATACTTTGCCAATGGTTATTTAATTTTTTAATAGATAGAACTTTGTATATAAGGCATAATAATATTCTCCATGGTCCCAGAAGGGTCTCCAAAGGTACAATGCAGGGGGCTACATTATCTCCATTGTTGTACAACATATACACTAGTCAAATTCTTAATTTTGTAAATATAGAAGGTGTAAATATTTTACAATTTGCGGATGATCTTGTAATATATTGTACAGACCATAATGTAGATAGAGCTGTAAATAGTATAAATAATGCTTTAGAGCAATTGTACATATATTATAATGACAAGTTGGCTCTACAGATTAACCCTAACAAAAGCAAGGCCATGATTTTTAGTAAAGATTTTCCCTCTAATGGCATACTCTACAATAATCATCCAATTTCAGTTGTATCTAACCATAAATTCCTGGGTGTTGTCATTGATAACAAACTTTGTTTTAATTTACACATCAATCACATTATAACTAACTCTCTTAAGGGCTTAAATATTATAAGATGTTTAGCTGGTGTGACTTGGGGTGCAGACCCCAAAGTTTTAAGTATGCTATATAAATCTATAGTCAGAAGCCATTTCGACTACAGTTGTTTAGCCTACTCAAATAGTAGTTGTGTAAAAAAACTAGACATAATTCAAAACAAAGCTCTGCGAATTATTTCTGGGGCTATGTGTTCAACTCCCATACGAGCTATGGAAGTTGAAACCAAAATAATGCCACTGTGTCTTAGAAGACTTCTGCTAATAGAGAGATATTTACTAAAGCTGGTATCTGGTAATGATAATGTTCTCAAAAAATAGTACCTTTTCCTTTACAATGCTCGGTCCAGCAGACTTCGGGAGGTGAGCTTTTACAAGGTTATTTTCCAGTTTTGCCTCTCATTGTACAGCAAATGAATGAAGATTTTAAAAATGTAATTAAACAATCAAAGTGGACATGCTACACATACCCATATTCCTGTATTATATTTGAGACCAATATTGTTACCAAAAATTTTTTTAATAATTGTGAATTATTAAGTTTTATTTCCGACAATAACTACTATACTTTGTATACAGATGGTAGCAAAAGTGAGCTCTTTGTGCGCAGTGCCGTTTATGATCCACAATGCAAGTTTGGTCAAAGTTTTCTTCTGGACCCTAAATGCAGTGTTTTCACTGCAGAGGTATATGCGGCCCTCGAGGCCCTGAAGGCCCTGAAGAGGATTGCACATATAAATAGTTTTAATAATTTTTTAATTTTAACAGACAGTTTAAGTATGGTCCAAAGTTTAACTAATCTCAGATTTGACTTTAAAAAAAACTATATTTTGTATAATATTAAAAAATTGTTATTTAGTTATGCAAAAAAGGGTATACAGGTCTCTTTCATGTGGATTCCATCACATAGGGGCATAACAGGAAATGAGATAGTAGATAAAATTGCACGTGATGGAACCAACATGTTGGATGTTAGCTCCATAGTAAAAGTACCTTTGACCGACTGTTATCAATCTATTGACAACCAGGTCAATAGCTTATGGGTCGAATTTTGGAAACAAGATCAAGAACAGAAGGGTAAATGGTATGGAACTGTTCAAGAAAAACTACCTGTAGCACCATGGTATAACAAACTGAAAATGGCCAGTCGGGACTTTGTTACCACTATAAATAGACTGCGCTTTGGTCACTCCACCGTCCCGGCCCACCTGGCTCGATTGGGCATAGTGGAGAGCAGTTACTGCACCTTCTGCAATAATTCTGTTGGTGATATCGAACATTTCATATTTACATGTGAGTGCTTTTCATTTGACAGATTGATTCTTGTCAGTGAAATTAGTGACATAGTGCAAAATCAAGTGACAGTGCAAGATCCCTCCCGCCGCCTGAGTGATATGTTAAAAAATAGATCCTATTACGTGCCTCTATATAAATTCATCAAAAATACAGTGGGGAAATTATAATAAACCGAATAAAAATACTCAAGACTTGGCCTAAAGGTCTAGATGCCAGGCCATAAACTCCAAAAAAAAAACTCTTAATTTACTAATATCATATTCATCCCGCCTAAGGGCTAAGGGTATTAGTGTTCTGTGTACTAGTTAGTCTGTGTAGTGTATTATCTATGGTCTGTGCTATTCAATGAATTCCTGTATAGGACTAGGACAGTTACTATACTCTTTGAATAGTATTCACCAAAGAGTATAGTAATATATAAGGAAGGTATTCACCTAGGAGTAAAGTATTCTGTGGTATTCACTATTCAGGTATTCAGTATTCACCAAAGAGTTAGAGTATTTGACGTTGTACGTAATACATATTTACTAAATTGATAATATTGGAAAAGTTAAGTTAAAAAGATAAATATATTTGAGAAGTAAATATGGGTGTTGATATTTTGGGTTTCGCATATGCCGCAACTGTAGCTGCAGGTGGTATTATGGGTTATGCTAAGGCAGGTTAGTGTTTGAAATATTTGTAATGAATTTTAAATTATGATATATTATTTTGATTGAGAGGCACAATGTATCTAGTGGCTGATAAGATTATTTGCAATATTTCTAGACTATTCTTCAAACATTTATCATTTTTATTGTTACTACTGTTTTAGTACTTTATTATGAATTGTTTAATTTGTTTATGGTTTTATGGCACATAACTTTAAATAAATTGGTAGTTAATTATTATATAATTGGCCTACTATACTATCTAGTTTCTAGTTTTTCTAGAGCATGATACTGAGTCTGTATAGTGATTGTTATCTTGCACTTCGAAACATATTTAAATAATGAAGTTGAATTTGTCAATATGAAAATTTATACTGTTTTCCTGCTCTGGTTCTTGCACAACATTATAATGTTTTAATTTGTATTAAATCAGAATATCTTCAAATAATGAATTCAGTCATTATTGCAATGAGTTAGGTAGTTGAAGTCAACTTATTATTTTTTATTAGCTTTCCTAAAGACAAATATTCTGTTTGCCTTTAGAATAACTGATGCCAAGTATAGACAAAAAATTGAAAAAAATAGTAATACAAAAAAGTTCCACCTCTCATCCCAATTTGCTGACATACCATCATAGTCAGGTGGGGAATATGACTAGACATATCTGTCTAGTCAACCTGGCAGGGGAGAATAACCAGAGGGGAGGTAACCTGTATATCTGTCTTTTTCGGTAGCCGGCAAAAGATCCAGCAGTTGGCTGTGTGCTCATCTACATTGAGTCACACCTTAGTAGCTTGCTTTACCAGCTGAGAAAGACCTTGCTACATTTTTTATACGATAAGTGTGACAAACAAGCACACAGTCCACCTGATGGTAAGTGGTTGCTGTGGCCCATAGACATTTACATCTATCTTCAATTACGAATCAAAATGCAGATGTGTTGTGACTTGTGAGGACTGAGATAGAATGCCTCGTTTCCCGTAAAAAGGGTCTCCGGTTCTCTATACTCACCATATGAAACACAGCAGCATTAAGCTGTTATTTTATGCTGGTATTCTGTGAGAGCGTGGTCTTTCCTCGGTCGAGCCGACTTAGTTGTGCTACAACCATAACATAGCTGCAGCATGGCTCTACCACGTAAACATTCATGGGAAAATTCCAGCCTTTCCCCAGTTATCGTCAGTATTTTGGTATGGGAACAGCCAGTGCCGTCTTTAAGGCAGGGCCCGCAGGGCCCTGGCCCGAGGCCCCGAGGTAGGCAGGGGCCCCACAATTCTGAAAATTTTCGATATACAACAACAAATTTTATAACATAATAAGAAAAATATCAAATCACACACTTGGTAAAATAGAAACAAGATTTAGAAAATTTGTTTAAAAATTTATTTTTGCACTAAAATAACAGTAATTATATACAGCTTAAAAAACTTTTTTTCTCGATTTCTTCGCAGCAAAATTAGATATGAGTTCATCAAAATCAATCGATTTTAATAAGTCCGATTCTATACTCATTAAACTTAGATGATTCAATCGTGACTGTGACATTGTGCTTCGATGATCGGATTTTATCAACTTTAATCTAGAAAATGATCGTTCACCAGCACAATTGGTGATCATTAGGGTAAGGAATATTCGGAGACTTATTTCAATATTTGGGAATGTAGACGTCAGAAATTCTTTCTTCAGTTGCAAGTATAGATCAGGAATAAATAATTCTTCGTTCTTTCGTGTATCACGAAGATAATGTTTATAATGTAAACATTCTGATATTAAATTTTCTGCAGAAATGTCTTGATCATATTTTCTGGCAAGCTTTTCGCAGCATTCTTTTATTCCTTCGTATGTCATGTTTGGTAGAGAGTCCGATCTAATACAGCTGGGACAGTTTACGGCACTTCCTCGAAGAAAAACCGATAGCCCTTGTTTATTAAACAAGATTCGGCGCAGCATCGCGCTGTAGTTATAGACTTGGTATGCAGTGGCTCGCTAACCAATGCTGTTATAGGCTATGATGTCACGGATGACGTCACTTTCATATATTTGTATATGAATAAATATAAGTATTGTTCTTTGTATAGATTATAATATATGGTTTTCATTCAATTTTATTTAAATTAGAATTGGTGGGGTATTAGTTTTTTAGATTCAAAAAATTTATTTATTGAACTCTCATATGTGGGGTGTTAAGAGACGGGGTTACGATTTAGCCTATTGCGTTATTGTAAACTGAAAAATGATAAAGTTAAAATTTAAGGATTTTCCATCCCTTACATAGGCCCCAGCCAGTACCTTGGCCCATAGCCTCGTTGATCCTAAAGACGGCACTGGGAACAGCCAGTCTTGCTGAAAAGAAAGAGAAGAAGAGAGTCACCCAGGAAGACCAGGTGTGCAGTAGGGTACCAACTTAGGGCCACATCAGCAGTCACCCTTGGATCTACAAATAATCAAGCTTTTTCCTAATCAGACTAGACTAGAATGAAGACTAAGGAGATTTTATCACTTCTCACTGTCTACCATCACCAATATAGTTGAGGAAGTGGGTCCTCAAGGTGACTGAGATGCTGGAAAAAGATTTTATTATGGATTTACACACAGCCTCCGGAATGTGGGTGGAATTTGTGTTCAAGGGAGAATCCATGATAGTCTAGGTATGCTGTATTCAACGAATATCCAATTTGTGTCCCCGTCAATAAAAGTAGGCTCGGCTGCTAAGTCTCAGGATGATAATGGACTGCGCTGAGATTAAAGTGGAGTCCTTGAATGTGGTGCACTTTTAATTAGAGGGTGTGCAACCGCTCTTTAACCACACCTTTATTTTTAGTACTCCTCATGAGTATAGAGTGAATAGGGAGGGAAAACAGCAGTTGAATGAGGTTTTGCGTTGATAACTAGGCGACATGACCAGAGCAACTGCACCTGTGGGAGCTTAACCTGGAGACTGCGATGCCCGAACCTATTTGTCTTCTTACTGGGTCATTACCTGACACGATGGAGTCGGCCTTGAAATTTTCGAAAGTTGGCTGGGCATCCCTTCCAGAGTAGCTAGGGGCCGCCTGTTGTCGATTAGTGGAGCACTGTGCCTTGGATCCCGCATATGCAGTGCTACTTTTCAGACCTATCCCCCTTATTGTACATTGTGCATATTGTACATTTTTGGATTTTTAGATAAATAAATTCTTTAATTGATAAATACAGTGGATTTCGGGTATAACGACGATGATCTATTTTCGTCGTTATATCCGGAAGTCTTTACAGGCAAAGGTAGCAAATTTAATACATTACAGTTGCTACGAGGGCGGCACTGAAAATTTCGGGAATCAAGGAAGTGACACAACATTACTATTTAAAAATGTATTTATTGCTTTTCGAAGTATTCTCCGCGAAATTTGACACATTTTTCCATACGATGGAACCAATCATTGAAGCAACCATTCCATTGGGAAGTTTGGGTCTCCAAAATGGCCGTTTTGTAGGCGTCCACAGCTTCTTCAGGTGATGAAAATCTCTGTCAATGCAATTTATTCTTTATTTTAGGGAAAGTATAGAAATCATTAGGGCTTAGGTCGGGGCTGTACGGCGGATGGTCTAATAATTCTATGTTTTCTTGCTCTAAAAACTCTTTTGTTCTGTGTGCGGTGTGAGAACTCGCATTGTCGTGATGGAGGATGCGGCGGTTGCAGTTCTCTTTACGGAGTTCAGAAACAACCTGTGGAAAACAAATGCTAGCATACTATTCTGCATTAACCGTTCTTTGTCCCTCAAGAGGAATAGTCGTAACATGGCCGCTTTTGGAGACTAACGTGGCCACCATTTTTTCTTGCAACATTCCGTGAACGAACAATTTTTGTTGGCTTCAACTCATTTTCGAACACCCAAACTCGTGACTGGTTTTTTGTTTCGGGTTCGTACGCGTATATCCAGGATTCGTCACCTGATACGATGTTGTATACAGCATTTGAGGATCCTGTGTGGAATCTTTCGAGAGTTCTGACGCACCAAGTAACGCGAGCCGCTTTTTGCTCTTCACAGAGCGAATGCGGTATCCATCGGGAAAGCAAGTTTTTTACACCTAATTGTTCATGCCAGATTATTTGTATTTGACTCATGCCAATGTCTAAAGTTGCTTGAATTAGCGGTATGTCACATGTCGATCTTCCTCAATCAGCTTACGCACAGCATCAACGTTTTCTTGGGTGCAGTTTTTGGACGACCTTGATGGGGATCATCACTGAGCTTGACACGTCCACGTTGAAATTCAGCAAACCATTGGGGCTTCATCACCAAATACAGAAAACATCCGGTCAAAACACTGTTTTTGTGTTAAACCACTTCGAAAGTCATAATAAATCATCGCTCTTGAATTTTCTTGAGTCAATTCCATTTTCTCAACGACTAAACAAGTTTGACAAAACCTTGTGACAAGACCGAGAATCTTTTTTTAAATAAATAAATGGTATTCGATTTTTAAAACCAAGGAGTTTTCAATTAAAAAGATTTTAATATGACAGGAACAGTGGAAATATTCCATTCCCGATACTTTTAGTGCAGCCTATGTACTCAGAATATCACTTTGTAACTGTACCATAAATTTAACTCCGAAACATACACGCTTCCCTACCTACTTAGCTGATATCTATAAACAAAAGGTAAAGGTCTCCACACTTGCTGACCATCTGTATGGATGTAAACAAAAGATAAGAAATGTTTGTGAAAGAAAGAAATCTTTGTGTCTTTGGCGGCCTGTGACTCTGGTTGCAATATTTGCATGGGATTTGTAGGAATTTGTTACAAATGATTCATTAAAAGTCGTCAGTCGTCAGTCGCTACACCCGAACTCGGCGTTACATCCAAAATAGCTATAGCCACATGAACTTTGAACTAAAATATGCTTTAAATTCAAGGGACTTAGATTTAGCGTCGCTATAAGTAAATGCAAAACAACCAAGGTAATAAATGAAATCCACTTTATTATGTATTTAAAATAAATATATCTGCATTTCAGGATCCATCCCATCACTGGGGGCTGGCCTCATTTTTGGATCTATATTAGGTATGTAAAGTCTATAGCTGAATTTGGTGTTTAAAGTTAACTAGTCGTGTTACATTCACACAAGCATAGTGTAGTCCACATAATATATTGTTGTATGTTCTTGCTTAGTATGTAAAATACAATAAGTACTGTTAAGACTTGATATGTGGAATATAGAGCCTAACAAAATGGCTTCATCATATGAAAAATAATTATAACTTAATAAAAAGGAAAAACCGAATTGAAGAATATACTTAAAAAAGAAGTTATTTGCTACCCTTAGGCGTGGAATTTTTCTTCAAATGTCTATGGGACCACCCTTGAAGTACAACTTATTTAATTAAAAAAAAATCATTAAAATCGGTTCTCAATCTGCGAAGATATCATATAAAATTCCTTAAACAATAGTCCAAAATGAAACTTTTGCTCCTATTTTCCATCTTCGGGGGCGGAATTTTTTCGTCAAAATTTAATGAGACCACCCCACCCAATGTCCTCCTCTTTGAAGTCGGTTAAAAAAAGAATCTAAAATACCATAATTAAAGAAAACTATATAAATTCGTTTTATATATTTTTCTTTTTGATGATTCCATAATAGTCCACAGGGCCATAGGCTTCTTCTATTTGTATCTTCTCTTCTATTGAAATTATTTAATTACCACTGGTTCAAAAAAAAACCTCTGTCCTGGGAAGAACCAGCAAGAAACCCAGCGAGACTTTTTTTTAACAACATATTGTTGGAGCATTTTCCATGATTGCTGAGCTGGGTGGGCATAAATGGTGGTGGTATTACTATGTAATATAGATGTTTTATTAATTCCATTACAGCTAATCAAAAGTCCACTGCTGAACATAGGATAAATATCTACCATACATTTTTTCTTTCTTGAATTTTTTTTTTATAGAATAAGGGTGACAAACGAGCACACAGTCCACCCGATGGTAAGTGGTTGCTGCGGCCCATAGACATCTACATCTACATCTATCCTCTATTACAAATCAAAATCCAGATGCATTGTCACCCGTGAGGACTAAGATGGAATGCCTCATTTCCAGTACAAAGGGCCTCTGGCCACCCGCACTCACCAAGCGAAACGCAGAGGTAAACCTCTACTTCACGCTGGTATTCTGTGAGGTCGTGGTACCGCTCCGGTTCGAGCCGGCCCATCCGTGCGACAGCAAAAGCCGCCACGTGGCTTTACCACTGTTAATTTTTTGTAATATTGAAATAACTGCCTTTTATCCATCTCAGAGGATATTTTTTTTCTTATTGGACCTACACAAGGTTATTTTTCAAAGAGTAGCCAAATTTTAAACTTAAGTTCAAGTATATAAATAATGATATACCGTTATTCCAGTTTTTGAGAATACGAGTAAATAAGACTTTTATTTGAAATTTTCCCAAATTGAATGTGATTTATGGGCAACAACTTCTCGTACGCGCGCTCATCTGTGTGCGATTCAATTCACAATGTTTTTGCCATTTGATAATTAATAAGAAACCCCGTGTAGTGGCGGGTAAGAATACCCACTACCCTATATCTTCCTGATAACAGCAATATTATAATAAAAAAAACTGCGGTTGCCAACCCACTCGCCAAGAGTGGCAAAAATCCCTCATAATGAAAGTTACGAAGAGACGGCCCCAGTCCCCGGCGGCCCCGCTATTCCTGACTACCGTCGACGAGGGTTGCGTACATTATACTCAGAATCACCAAACGGTTTTCGTTGAAGGTCATACAGGTATACGCACCAACCTCGGCACATCCCGATGAGGAGAGACTTCAATGCAAAACTAGGCACAAGAGAGAATGGTGAGCTGAAAGTAGGGAAATAGGGCAACGGAACCCAAAGGGCCTGCAGCTGGCTGACTTCATGGAGAAAGAGAGACCCTTTATGTTGAACTCTTTCTTCCAGAAGCGATCCCACAGGAAGTGGACCTGGTCGAGCCCCGACGGTTCGACAAAAAATGAGATTGACTTCATTATGACGACCAGATGACAACTGTTCAGTGATGTCTCAGTGATCGCGAGTTTGAAAATTGGTAGCGATCACCAAATGGTTAGAGGCACACTGAATCTAAACGTTAAGTTGGAGAGGTCTCGTCTAATGAAGTCAATGCTCCATCCCCCTCGTGCTCTAGTCCAAAGTCTCAAAACCTTTCAGCTAGAGTTACTAAACCGTTTTCAGTGCCTAGAAGACTGCAATGAAGTGGACGATATGAATGATAAGCTCGTGGAAACTGTCCATGCGGTCGGAGCTAAGTTCTGCAAGACCCGCCGCAGAAGAACACAAAAACTCTGAGATCACACTCTTAATCTCATGGCTGTTAGACAAGAAATGAAGCTGCAATCTTCAACAGATCTGACAGCATACAGGCAACTGAACAGACATGTCCAAATGCATGCGACAAGTTGGCGGCAAGGCATACAGCTTGTATTGAAGAAGCGAAGAGGTGTAAGACATGGTGTAAGGTGGGTGACTTTATATCCCCGAAACTCTTTACCGCTGCATTGGAAGACGTTTTCAAGCTACTGGACTTTTTAGTGAAATAATAAAAAAAAAACATAATAACATAAAAAACATAATCGAAATTTTTTTCGGTAGTTTCCTTAGGATCACTCCAGAACCAAAATGATAAAAAAATTCATGGCAAGATCTGAAAACTAGATGCTTGGAGCTACAATTTGCTTTTTTTTGCGCTACAATCACTCAAAATATTTAGATTTTTTTATATCCTCTAACTTTTGTGACTAGTGTATATTTTATTCCAAAAGCTGGGAGACTTTTTTGTGAATTTATAAAGTAATTAACTTTAAAAAATCAGAATGACGCCACATTAATAGATCCCCTACCGAGGCGAAGCCGGGATGGGTCGCTAGTTATGAATAACTCAAATAAGTACATCTTTGTTCATTGTATTAAGTGGACTTCTACGATTCAAAACATATTTAGTCTAAAATAGAAGCCAGGTGTACATAAAATGAATGAGCATCAACTCTTAATATTAAAAATTATGATTTCAGGTGTAGGTGCATATCAATTAACTCAAGATCCTTCAAATTACACACTCATGCTAGGCACAACGACTACACTCGGAGGTGTTATGGGTTACAGGTAAAGCAAATATAGTTTTAATTTACACTTTGTCATATTAAGTTAGTATTATTATGTTAGAATTTCGCGGATATCATTAGTATTCCATATTAGGGTAGGTTAGGATGACATGGATAAGGCATAGAGATAAGTGCCAATAATAAGAGATAACAGCCATCTTGCTTGCACCAAAAGTAGTAATCAAATTAATGATTTAAAATTTTAATCAAGAATTTTCTTGGTTATTAAAAGTATTTGCACATTCCATTAAATTATAAAATATTAAAATACATGGTAGAGACATGCTGCAGCTATATTAGTAGTGTAGTTGTAGCACAGGTGGGTCGGCTCGACCGGCGAAGGACCACGCTCTCACAGAATACCAGCATAAAAGAGTAACTTAATTCTGCTGTGTTTGTATAGTGAGTGTAGAGAATCGCAGACCGTTTTTACTAGAAACAGGCATTTCATCTTAGTCCTCACGGGTGACAACGCATCTGCATTTTGATTCTTTATTGAGGATAGATGTAGATGTCTATTGGTCACAGCAACCACTTACCACCAGGTGAATTGTGTGCTCGTTTGTCGCCGCACACAGCAGCGTTAAACTGCTATTTTACACTGGTATTCTGTGAGAATGTGGTCCTTCCCCGGTCGAGCCGACCCATCTGTGCTACAACTACACTACTAATATAGCTGCAGCATGGCTCTACCACGTAAACAATGTTTCTTTTTTTTATAGAATAAGGGTGAGAAATAAGTACAGAGTCCACCTGATGTTCCGTCGATTCTGTGGCCCATAAATATCTACATCTATCCTCAATTATATACACATAGGTTTTTTTTAAGGATTCCAATAACTATTAAGGATTTAAATATATTAATTTTATATTATATGTTATGTCATCATAAAGAAAAATGATAAAGGTTGCTATTTTTTTTTCAGGTTTTATAACAGTAGGAAGTTTATGCCGGCCGGCCTAGTTTTCGCCTTGTCTGTTGCCATGCTTGTAAAACTACTTGCTTATAATGTTGGTTCCAAAACAATAACTGTGAAAATTAAATAAGTGTTATTACAACAAATCTAGAATTTTCTACTTTAGTTGCTAAGATTTGATGTTATATGTTTAAGTGAAACTTTTGGATTCATGACAGTGAATTGAAAACATTTTTTTTTATTTATTTATGCTTTAAAATGCATTGTTAAATGTTATCTTTTTAGTTTTGTAACCGTAATATTTATATTAAAGTTTGTTATACAATATAAATACAGTAGTCGCGCGGGTTAAATGCAATAGGGGCGTGAGGTAAAGGTGTAGTGCTGTTCTGACTTGTATCGTAAATTCAATGATCGGAATTGATTCATAGCGCCAAGCACGGGATATATAAAAGTGTAATATAAAGTTCTGGATTGTGCTGTGGGCTAAAGAAGGGTAGAATAACTTTTTGACCTTGCCTTTAATGATCATTTTATTCAAGCGAGCTATGTCGGACTGCTTAAAGGAATATCAACTGTGGTTAAATTAAAAAGTTACAAAAAAATCTCATTGTTCTCGCGGGGTGGCAACCGCTAAAGTTTATTTATTATTTTGTGTTTGTTTGTTGTACAGCCGACATCAATATAAATAAAATGAGAACCTCATCAATGTAACGCATTATTAAGCATAACTCAAAAACTGCTGGTCAGATCTTGATCAAATTTATGATAATTTTTCAAATAAAAAAATTCAAAATTTTGTTATTAAGAATAACTCAAAAACTATTGGTCATATGAGACCACACGAGAAGTACCAGCTTTCAAATAAAAAAAGAATCATCAAAAAAATCACACATAAAAAAATACAGACGAATTGAGAACCTCAACTTGTCCCAAGTTTTTATTTATATGGTAAAACATATTTAAAATGTTTTTAAAGTAATACCACCATCACTTCTTGTTTTTAGTAATTTATTGATATAATTTACCACTAATTATTGAATAGGTGCACTAGCACATTCCTTGGCTTTGCATTCAATTTTCGCGACTGCTGTAAATAATTTGTTACATCAGACCAATAAAAAATTTGACGAAAAATATACGCAATGCTTAAATTTCAAGTGACGTCGAAACCCTTCACAACGTATTGACACTCACACAAGCACACTCGCGCACAAATTTTACTTGTGTCATTCTTTAACAGCCCGTAAAAGTCCATTGCTGGACGAACGCATACATAATTATGCATCTAAAATCATGTTGTTGGTTGCAGATGATTTAATGTGCATAATATGTGTGCGTGAGTGCATGTTCTTACAATAACTTGAGCATGGTTTTGGATTAGTTTCGTTTTCACTTGAAATCTATGCAGTGCTGCGTCCATCTTTTTTTTGTTGGTCGGAGCTTATCTGTTTATTTTTTTAATTTAGCATTAATTTTAACATTTTATGTTCTCTATTTGAAATTGGTGTTGGGGTGGAGAAATAAAAGTGGGTAATAAAAAAAAAACAAATCGTTTGTTCTCTTTTATTTTCTATTCTTTTTCTTAAAAATTATACAATTTGGACGGATAAAAATTGGCTCATACGTAAATAATTCGTATATATTATAATAAATAATTAGCAATCAACGGCAAGTGATGTTACAGTTGTCAAGCTCATTTTTTTTAATTCAAAGTATTAAAAATATACGGCCAATGTAAAAACTTTTCAATTTAAAAATTTATTCTATTGGTAACTATAATTAAAAACCTATGTCACATAAATAAAGTTATTAAAAACAGGCTTAAATTACAACAAAGTCGGTATATAGATATTATTTTGGGACAAATAATCCCAATAAAAATACATTAAGTGAAAATTAAACTAAATAATTAAAACAAGTTTATTGTTCAGAAGGCTGCGATCCAGTCGCAGTAAGCTCGGTTTAAATGAAAAATAAAACGAAATACGATGTTTAAATTGCTTATTAATTAATTATAAAAGGCACTTCGTGGCAGTTTCTTTTATTATTTAATCTAAGAATAATATTTTTTACAACCGTTTTTAAACGAATATCCATAGACTAAAAGAGTATTTCTATGATTCCAAAACCAAAACAAGATTCACAACGACTCTACGTTGGATCTGCTTCAATCATATTTATACAAAAAAAAAATAATATCCTAATGTACTTATAGTTCATTAATAGGTACACAATCACATTAATATATCACTCACAGAACTGTGTCTGACGCTGATGTAGTCTTGTCTTCAGACACATTTTTTCACACATACGAGTGCAACACTAACCCGCAATTACCCGCTGAATATTGAATATTACTTCGTAAACACTCAGACAAAAATATATTTAAGAAATAAGTATGTTATTACAATTGTATTGCAAAGCTTAAAAAATTACAAAAAAGAGGATTTAAAAATATTTATTACATATTACAAATACATTGTAATTTAATTATATTACAACAGTAATATTCTTATGTACGGGTTGTGCGCACATTTCACAATCTGTAATTTAAGTAGAGGCTGGAAATAGGGACTGCCTTGGTAAAGACACCAGGGCAAAACAGGACGGTGATCCGCAGATACCATAGTAGTCTCAACATTCCAGCGTAGCAGTCTTCAATGCTTAGTCCGCTCGTTTCGTTAATGGCGGCTGCTGTAACATAGACAAATATTTATTTTTCTTAAATAAGGATTGCATCTTTTGCGTATTTAAAACAAACATTTCATAACTAATTGGATGTTGATATGTGCATAATATGCTAAAATAATTAGATGTATGACTCTGTTTTCATTTAATTATATCAATTAAGCAAAATTAGAAATAAAAACGGAATTATTATTATTGTTGTTTAATGGTCCAAACTTCAGAGGCATTAATATCTCAAAAATAGCATTGTTTAGCCTTGTATCCCTTTCGCATAACTCCGTCAAATTGTCGTCAAGTAAAATATATTAATTTAAGTAAAGTTTAAATTACATGACACAGAGAAAGGGCTAAGATTGTGTTGTAATGAGGCTGTAATCCTTTGAAGTACTGCCTTACAACCCTTCTTTAAATAAATAAATGTTTTATATTATTGTAATCAGGTCGTCACTCTATCTAGTGGGGGGACGCCCTAAACTTCGTCCGCCGGTACGAGGTTACCACTCGAGAAACTTTTTTCCCCATCGGTTGTCGGTTCTTCGAGCTATATGGCCGGCCCATTGCCATCTGAGCTTAAAAATCCTTTGAGCTATGTCGGTAACTCTGGTTCTACTGCGTATATCCTCATTTCTAAGTTTATCACGCAGAGAAACCCCGAGCATAGCCCTCTCCATAGCTCGCTGAGCGACCTTGAGCTTCCTCATACAGCCAGCACTAGTATGAGTCCCCCCACTAGATGGAGTGACGACCTGGTAAGACATGCAGGAAGGCGATGAATGCAGGTGGCTCAGGACCGTGCTTTGTGGCATTCCTTGGGGGAGGCCTATGTTCAGCAGTGGACCTGTGAAAGGCTGTAATGATAATGATGATGATTGTAATCACGTAAAATTGTAATAAGTTGCAATATTTGCATCTATAGAAATAATGACAAGGTTAAGCTGTAATAAAAAAAATGTTAATTATCTACAATATAAATATCTAAACGGATTGATTTTGTGACAATAAATAAGGTGAACGAAGTAAACTGAGTAAGTAACGATAACTTTTTGAGATTTCATGCTCAAGAATACTGAGGAATGTAGAAGAGTTGTGTAACAACTTTGTATAATATGTTGTGAATTATTTTTGATTATGTTCCGAGTTTATGATCATGGTTTGACGTTTATATACACAAGGGCGTGCTGAACACAGTGTGGTTGCAATCTGTTCAAAAAATTTTAGTAGCAAATGAAGTTATTAAAATTATTTATGTTTTGCAGTAGTACTAACTAAAAATCTGTTAATTTTATTTGAAAAATATAGATAAATTCTTACACATATTACCTACTAAGATTTAAGTCTGGGATGAAACCTTTTTGGTGATATATTAAATAATATTTTTTATCATTATAATTGCTTATGACAATAATGAGCAATTGTAATTCAGTATTTTATTCGTGAACAAATTGCAATTTGATCTTTGTGATAAATAAGGTGAGACAAGTCGATGTAATGCGTAAAAGTATGTGGAAGATATGACAGCATCCATATGAGGCGACGGAAAGTAATGACTTCAATAATGCAGTCCAAACTCATTATTAATTTCTTACCAATAATTGTTAATTTGGCACATCTATGTTTGTATTAAATCTCCGGAAGTAAGGTTCCTTTGGTAAGAGAATACAAGTCTCGCTGGCTCTATTTGAACTTGTTGAGAGTTTGCATCTGGCCTAATAGAGTTATCACTTGACTTGGCTTGGGAATAATATGTTCCAAACTTAAAAGACTTTATCCCTTTGTTTGGGAAAGGGCTTTTGGTAGTCGCCCGATTAAAGTAGCTGTCTACTTCCTCTTTGTTAAAGAAACCACGCTTGGGCGACTGTGTCTTTTCCGATGGCCTTATTGTCGTGAAATCTTTGAAGTCGTAGGGACTTCTCGTCGTCGATATTGAAAATTTCGGTATATAATTCGTCTTCGTAGTTGGTGGCTGAGTTACTTGTGTTGTAGATTTTTCAGTTTTATACTCTGTTGTCTTCCATGGGTAGTGAAAACTGAATTTGTAAGGACTCTCGGTTGTTGTGGTGGTAGTTGTTGATGTTGTCGAGACAGTTTCGGCGTTTGTATTCTTTTTGTAGCTTGAAAAGTAGTTTTGTTGGTATGAAACAGGTGGCGCTGATGTGCTAGGTACGTATGGCTTTGTTGTGTCTCCGTAACTGTGCATGTGTTCACAAAAAATATTTTAAATTAGTAACAGTGTTGTATTTTGAATTTACACACACTGACAGTAATGAGTTGAAATAGTTCAACTCATTTCGTCGTCAGCAGTGTGATTGATTTCAATGACTTCAATGGTCAAAGGAACAGTTTAAAAATCACAGAATAGTAATAACGACAGGGCAATAATTTTAATTTGCATGTTTATGCAAATTAAAATTATTGCCCTGCCATTTACTGTAAGGTTTAATAAAAAATCTACAGTGTCAAATCAATGAATACGTTGACATATTCAATTTTATGTTTTTACTTATATTAAATTTTTAATACTGTTTTAAAGTTTATATTGATACTACCCTAGAAAGTAGAATCTAACAAGAATAATCAACACAATATTAACCACTCAATTGGTAGTTTTGTGTTTTATCGTTAAGTAAAATTATTCTAAATTAAAACTAATAAGTTTTAACATAAAAGCGTTTCAAGTGTATTATTCCACAATTTAAAAACTTGTTATGCTCAAATTACAATTGTAATACATACCTTGTAATATTTCCGTAAAAGGGACTGGTCTCTGGCCGTACGTAGCTCGGCGTGTGTTGCGAATAGTCCGGGATTATATTCTCATGTTCGGTTATACATTGACCGTTTATGCAATACTGAAAAATTTCAAAAACAAAAACAATCTTAATTTTTCATTCAAAGTAAATAAAGTAAAAAAAGTATGCTAAAATTTTTAACATTGATTGGGGCATTGGTTAAATGAAACATGGAGTACATATTACTTATTAAACATCCAAAGCGATTAAACGTCTGTACATTCGATAGCTTGTAATACTACGAATGAATTTAATAAACAATTATATTTTGAGTATATTATGTCTTAAATAAATAAATAATTATATTTATTTGTCGCCGTGTTCGAAGTCTGACAGGAGGATATCATGATCACATCTAGTAGGGAGAAGGTATATGGGGGAGGTAAAAGTAAGTAAACGAGTCAGGCTACAATTATAAAGTGGTTTTACCTGTCCATCACCACAAGGCGATCCCTCGGCGGCGGGCCGGTACGCCACGCAGTAGCCGCTCGCCGCGTCGAAGCAGAACAACTGAGCGCAAACACGCTCGTCCTTGAAACACGCGCTGGAAATGTTTTGTACAAGTTAAACATACGATGATATTTGGAAGAATAAACATCCATATGCCACCTTATACGCAATATAACGAAATAATATAAATAAATAAAAGTGACAATAGCTTAATGGCAGAGTGCGGACCGCGAACTTAAAAGGTTAGCCTACCAGAAGAAGCTTACCAGGAGTGGTTAAAGGGAATATTAGTAATGTTAATAACAGCATTGGCAGTTTTTTTTAAATATCGGATTTAATGAGCGGGTATAGTGACCTTGACAAGTTACAGTAAAGCCCAACCTCAGCTTCGCGTCCGAGGTCTGCAATAGAATGCTACAAAATGTTCTACCGCTGACAACAAACCTCATTTATGATACAGTATTCTAAAGATATTTTTAAATTCTTAGAGATAAGGTGAAAAACGAGCACACAGGTAAGTGGGATGCTGTGGCCGACAGAAATTTACATCTATCCTCGATTAAGAATCAAAATTAAGATACATCGTCACCCCTGAGGATTAATATAGAATGCTTCTGGAAAACTTAAAATGGCGACCACATTCTAACCAAGTTTTTCAACTCATCGGCAAGAGATAATTTACAATCGATTGCAAAATTTACCTAACCGGTACCTTGAGGATCACCAGCTGATTAGTGACCGCCAGTACGGTTTCCGTCGAGGTCGCTCAGCTGGTGATCTTCTAGGTTACCTAACTCATAGATGGGCGGAGGCAGTGGAGTCCAAGGGGGAGGCGTTGGCCGTTAGTTTGTACATAGCGAAGGCTTTCGATCGGGTTTGGCACAAAGCGCTTCTTTCGAAGCTGCCTTCCTATGGGCTTCCCGAGAAATTGTGCAATTGGATCACCAGTTTTCTTGCAGATTGGAGCATCAAGATCGTAGTAGATGGTGCATGCTCCGATTACAAGCCCATTAACGCTGGTGTTCCACAAGGCTGCGTGCTATCACCAACGCTGTGTCTTCTGCATATCAATGATATGTTGTAAACCAGTAACATTCATTGCTATGCAGACGACAGCACTGGTGATACTTTATACACCGGCCGTGCCAATATTACTCGGGATAACGTCGCCGAGTACCGGACCTAACTTGTGTCTGAAGTCGAGACTTTGTTGAACAAAGTCTCAGACTGCGGGCGACTAAATCTAGTCCAGTTTAATCCACAGAAGACACAAGTTTGCGCGTTTACCGCTAAAAAGGATCCCTTTGTCGCGTCTCCTCAGTTTCAAGGCACTCCCCTTGTTGCCTCAGCCAGTATCAGTATCCTCGGTGTCCACATATCGAGTGACGTGCAATTTCGTGGTCACTTGGAAGAGAAGGCCAAATTGGCCTCAAAAAAGCTTGGCGTGCTCAGCAGAGCAGACATATTTCATGCGGGCACACCGCTTGCAACTTTACAAAGCGCAGGTTCGGCCTCACATGTAATACTGTTCCCATCTCTGGGCAGGGGCTCCCCAGTGCCAGCTCCTTCCACTTGACTGCATTCAGCGCAGAGCCGTTCGAATCGTCGACGACCGAGTTCTTTCCGATCGCCTTGACTCACTGGCACTGCGTAGAGATGCATCTCTTTGCGTATTTTACCGCATCTACCACGGGGAGTGCTCTGAGGAATTGTTCAGACTAATTCCAGCCGCTCAATTTCACCATCGCACATCGTGACAAAACTCGCGATACCATCCATATTATCTGGACGATTGGCGGTCCACCACTGTGCGATTTAGAAGAAGTTTTTTCCCTCGCACAACTTCCTTGTGGAATCGATTACCACCAGCGATTTTTCCGGACCGATACTACTTAGGGACGTTCAAGAAAAGAACCTACTCCTTTTTAAGAGGCGCAACGCATCTGCGATTCCCCTGGTGTTGCAGTTGTTCATGGGCGGCGGTAGTCACTTACCATCAGGTGAGCAGCATGCTCGTTTGCCCCCTCTCCTATAAAAAAAAATTGTACCTAATAGACAAACAAGCAAAGAAGAATCGAAGCGTTTTACTGTTTTTAATAATATTTTATGCATTTAAAATCTCTAGCCCATCGCGAAGTTAGTTTATAATGAATGGCAAAAGTACCGAACAAAGAAACGTCGAGATATCGAGTAAAAACGATTCGATCATTTTTGACCCGCGTCCTGCTGCTGATTCTGCTCACGGGATCGAATCGAGCGCCGTGACATTTTAAGCTAGTTGCTGACTGCTGTGCATGGGACAGTTTAATAACAATAATAAACTGACTGATTCCTTATTCCTTAATTATTAACTAAATATTAAAAGTATGTATTTACATTGACCCAGTTTAATAAAAAATATGATTATTTTACTAAAGCAGGTAGTAAACATTAAATAACGTAATAAATATTCAAGATAAGTACAGCTTGTGAACGACAGGAAAAATAGTTCATACCCGATCACCCTATCATCACATACCGACACAGGTCTATCTTAAAACAGTGCAGTGGTTATACAAGCGGTAGGAATATGTGAGTGTAACTAAAAGACAAATTTCTAGACTGAAAAGGAGCTCCACCACACCTCTTAGTAAAACTTTGCGGTTTTATGCTGCTTTTTTATTATAATGCTGAAAAAAATAGATTGTAGTAAATAGGTAAGATGAAGTGACGACTTAGTAGGAGATGTGGAAAGTCAATGGAAGCAGGTTGCTCAGAACCATACTTTGTGGCGTTCCTTGGGGGAGACCTATGTTCAGCAGTGGGGCTGTAACGATGATGATGATGAAATAGGTAATTCTCACCTGGTGCCCCTATCTTTCCGGCATTGCGCGTCGAGAGTTAGCAGACGGCCGGGCAACACGCGTGGAAGCGAGTCGTCCTCATGCGGCGAGTTGAAGAGACACGTTGCTGTGTCCCCGCTAGAAAAGAACATAATTTAAAATTAAAAATTTTGTACAACCGACTTCAATATAAATTATTAAGAATAACTCAAAAACTATTGGTCAGACCGTGATCAAATTTATAAGGGACCACATGTAAAGCACCAGCTTTCAAATAAAAACGAAATCATCAAAATCACACATAAAAAAAAAACATACAGTCCTTTTTGAAGTCGGTAGAAAATATCCGTTAATATTTTAAACTTCTAAACGAAATAAGTTTTGAGCTACTGACGTTAACAATATACATATATACATAGATACAAACAACTAAAAGGGCCAACTCAGTGGTGTAGCCTAATACTAGATAACCTATAACTATTCCTCGTAAATCTGGCTATCATATACAAAATTAATTTATCAAATCGGACTAGTAGTTCCAGAGATTAGCGTTTAAACAAACAAAAAACCTTTTCCGCTTTATTATATTAGTATAGATTCTATCTCATTCTCTCCTATAGATTTATATAAATCTATAGGAGAGAATGAAAAGAAATAATATAGGAAAGACATATATATATATATATGTGTTTTTTTAGTGTCGCTTTTTCGTTTCATTGAGTTCGAAACAACGATGCTAAAGAAGTTATCACTTCAAAAAAAAGACATACTTTGTCACACAACATCAGGATCAGGCCTGAGGTGAAATGCCTCGTAGCCAATACTGACTCTACCCTACAAACCGGAACGCAGTATCATTAACTGCTGCTGGACGTCAAAAATAGGTAAGAGGGAGATAGGTAGCGGTAGTATAGCTTTTTCGCCACCCTTGTGGCGAAATAGCCTTACCATCTTTATACTTGATATCTACTCGCATCTTTGAAGATATTCTCTAGCTCTCTTTCATCAGTCTGGGCATTTTATACATCTATTCTATAATCTATACTAATAAATAAAATTGAAGTGTCTGTTTGTAATGTCAAAATAACATCTTTTTACTAAATGCATATGAAAGTATATACGGTACTTATAACAATAACGCAATTTTTGTCTGTCTGTCTGTTTGTTCCGGCTAATCTCCGAAACGGCTGGACCGGTTTTGACGGGACTTTCACTGGCAGATAGCTGATGTTATAAGGAGTAACTTAGGTTACTTTCATCTTAGAAAAAGAATAAGATTTTCGCGCGCAAAAAAAAATTAAAACCCTAAATTACACGCGGGCGAAGTCGCGGGGAACAGCTAGTTTGGCATAAGCCTGTGGCCTTTTCAAGTCCACTGCTGAATATAAAGCATTTTTGAATGGAATATTGAAAAATGTTTGCCCATTCTTGCTATCTTGAACATGTTAATAGAACTGGTAATACGACTCGCCGATCGGTCTGAACTTTAAGTTCAGAGGTTTTGATAGGATTTTATCTATTTGTCATCCGGAGAGATGGCATAGGTGTAACCTATCATACTGGCATATAAAAGTAAAATAAAGTTGCAGCCTATTTACGTCCCACTGATGGGCACAGGCCTCCTCTCACTTCTGAGAGGGTTTTATACTGGCATATATACGAAGGTTTATATATACTATGTATTTTCAATATTCGCATAAGTCATGAATGATGCGGTCATTAAATTCTATTACACAGAAATGTAAGTTCGTTCACATAATTATTGTGTTATACAATCATACGTGGATGGATGACTAATGCGCGAACAATTAAACAATGATTTGAAATTGCTTTATATAAGAGTTGATGGGAAAGAGAGAGGCACTAGAAAATGACACGTAGGTCGATTCACTAAAATGTTAAACACTACTCGTATGTGCTTATAAGAATGCCAGTAGGACTGTCAAAGTGATATTTCATTTCGCAATCAGATTTGAGACCTAGTTTCAAGAGCGTGTACAATGTACAATAAAACCTATCTAAAATCTCACAAATCTTAAAATAATTCATGCTCCAGTCGTATACTAATAGTTACACAATGCAGCGTGACTTTGTCGTAATTTTTTCTAGTATTATTATGATATTTATTATTTCGGTCCCTTTTTTGGCGTGCGATGACAAACAAAAGTTCGAAGTGCTTGCGTCATAGACTAAGAATATACTGGCGTAAGTATATTCTAAGTCGATGGCTTGCATATTGGATGCTTACTTTAAAAAGTGATGGAAGCTCTGAACGCTGCAGGGTGACCATCTGAAACCTTTCTCCGTGTGCCTGAGATCCGACATGATGAAACCATCCTCCCATCTGCATTTCTCAGCTCCCGGTCCGCCCAAGTACGATGGGGGTGGACTGCCGTCGTGGACTGCACCGAGTCTGAAATTTGATTAAAATACATATAGTAAATGCTGCATTAGTCATCAATGGGGTAGTGGATATTCTTACACCGCATTGTCTGCCTACCTATCCATTTGGGTTTGCAAGCCATTATGCGATTAGACACCACAGTTTCTGTTTCACCAGATCATGTCTCGTTTGGAGATTAAAAGGTGTGCATTATTAATGGTTGTATGTTAGGTTTAGGGCTTGAGGGCACTATCACTACTACCAAGTAGTGATAGTGCCCTCAATCGTGTGAGGGAGGAAAATGTTATTGAAACTAAGTACCTAAGACACGCAATTTTTAACTTTCACGCAAACTTCGCAAATAAATTTCACATCTTTAATATACTATGGCTGGTGATTGATATTTAATTAATTTACATAGTTGCAACTAATTATCTGAATATCATCTTTATATATAAAAATTACGTGTCACGTTGTTTGTCCGCGATGAACTCCTAAACTATTGAACAGATTTCAATGAAATTTTGAACACTCTGTGCAGTTCGGTCCAACTTGAGAGATAGGATAGTTTTTATCCTGATAAGGGACACTCAATATTTTTTTATTACAAATTTAAGCATTTTTTATATGAGAGGTCGTCGAAAAGGGCAGAACGACGTCTGCCTGGCCAGCTAGTAATATTATATAATAATCTAAAAATTATCTAAAACACAACATGCAAGCATGAGCGTGCATATCTATGGTAATTTTTAATAAAACTAATTGTGTTAAATTTACAACAACGAATGTTCAAAATCTGAATACCAATGTGTTTTTAAATGGGGAGGAATTGAGCCCTGTTGTATCCACTGTTTTTCTTGGCATCACTCTTGACGCAAAGCTCCAGTGGGGCCCCCATATATCCAAATTAGCAAGCAGACTAAGTTCTGCAGCCTATGCTGTAAAAAAGATTAGAGGTCTCACTAGTGTCGAGACAGCTAGATTAGTTTATTTTAGTTATTTTCATAGCATAATGTCTTATGGGATTTTGCTATGGGGAAATGCGGCTGATTCAGAAACTATTTTTGTTTTACAGAAGAGGGCCATTAGAGCTATTTACAATCTAAAACCGAGAGAGTCTCTTAGAGATAAATTCAAAGAAATTAATATATTAACTTTGGCCTCTCAGTATATTTACGAAAATTTAATGTATGTTCACAAAAACAAAGATAGTTTTAGTAAAAGAAGTGATATACATTCTGTAAACACTAGGAACAAACACAAGCTAGTGATACCAGTTTCTCGACTCCACAGAGTCAGTAATTCATTCTTGGGGCAATGTATACGCTATTACAACAAGGTCCCGGAAAGTGTACAGGTTCTCTCTATTACCAAGTTTAAATGTTTTATTAAGCTGAAACTGTATAAAAAGGGTTATTATAGTATAAATGAATACATGGTTGATAATAACCCCTGGGAATGAGGTGATCGCTTCCAAGCAGTTTCTAAAATAAATTTTGTAAATAGTTCGTAATCATTTCTATTGTAAAATTTATTTTAAAAAAAAGTCCCGCTGGGTTTCTTGCTGGTTCTTCCCAGGACAGAGGGTTTTTTCGAACCAGTGGTAAAGTAAAAAATGACTTTCAATAAGAATTACACATGTAATGTATATTGAATAAAAAAATATTCTATTCTATTCTATTCTATTCTAATATTGACATAAAGTGTCAATGAAAAGGAGACGTGTTGTTCCTTCTATGACTTTATAATTAGATTACTACTAACAACCATAATTAGGATTCACATTACATAAGTCGTGTGGGTTACTCTATATTACATCTACCGAGTACCGACAACAGAAAAAACAAGTGTTAAAAATTAAAAAAAAATGTACAACCGATTTCAATGTAAACAAAATGAGAACATCATCAATGTAGTGGATGTCAATTAAATATGCATTATTAAGCGTAACTCAAAACTACTGGTCAGATTCTGTTCAAATTTATATGGGACCACATGAGAAGCACCAGCTTTCACATAAAAACAAAATCATTAAAATCGGTTCACCTAAAAAAAAGTTCTGAGGTAACACACATTAAAAAATTCAGTCGAATCGAGAACCTACTCCTTTTTTGAAGTTGGTTGATAAAATAAATTATCTATTTTTTATTAAACCCTAAAATTATTCTAAACGTAACTAATGAATAATCTTAATAAAAAAAGAAATGCGTGAAAACACTCGGTTGGAACGAAGTTCCTTTCGTAGTATATTATTATCTTTTGATAAACGTATTATATTATTGATTAACAAATACAAATAAATGAATTATTACTCCAAGAGTCTATTGAAATGAAGCGTCATTTAAAATAAAATAATATTTCTTTCATAGCAAGATAAGAAAAACTGCGAGGGAGATATTATTCCATCTCGCTTCCTCATAGCCGCCAAGGCCGTCTACACCAGGGGTTCCCAATTTTTTTTTGCCAAGGAACCCTAATTGATTATACTTTTCCTAGCGGAACCCTACCTTGATAAATGGAAATTTGCCTACCTTGAAAAAGGTATAAATGAAAAACAATTAAGTTTTTATGAAATTATTTTTGTACATTTACTGTGAATATGTAGGTAGGTACATAAAGTAATAAAACGTACAAAAAATTTCATTCGTCACATTAAATTCATAAAAACACGTTTGTGAATTTAATGTGACGAATGAAATTTTTTTACATATTTTCTTAAAATAGCATTAAAATTAGGCTTAATGTCCGACAGTTGAACGCGAAGATCTGGAGCTGCATCCAGTCTATTTCTGTACTTGCTTTTGGTGTAAGCATATGCGGAAAAACCAGTCTCGCATCGGTAAGTCGTCACAAACGGTAACAGTAATGTGATGGCTCTATTAACAATTTCTGGGTATTCATCTTTGAGTCCAATCCAAAAGGCGTTTAAATCAAAAGTTCCTTCTTCATACTTTTGTTTTAGCGTTGATGAAAATTTGATGTCAATCAAATTCTCATACTCTGACACCGACAGCATCGAAGGTTTGGTGTGATTTACAAACGGATTCTGCACCCAGTCCATGTCCTGCAACTGCTCCGGAAAATACTCATGCAAAGATTTTGTAAGGCTTGTCAAATGCTCATGTATATTCTTTTCCACGTCTGAAGATACCCGCAACTCATTTTCTTTTAGAAAGTCATTCAATATTGTGAAACATTCGTAATTATGTTTTTCAACACATTCAATCCAGAACGCAAGCTTGTTTTTCAGTGAAGACATTTTATCATTTACTGTAAATTTTGTTGTAGCTCGTCCCTGTAATGCCTTGCAGATTACGTTGAGCTTATCGAATATATCAGCTAAATAAGCCAATTGCATCAACCATTGCTCATCATGCAGCAGTTCAACAAGCTTATTAACGTGTGCAGAAACTGGTTGTTTGGTAAAGAATATCTTAAGCTCGTCGTGCAATTCAAACAGCCTTAATAGAACTCTTCCTCTTGAAAGCCATCTTACTTCCGTGTGAAGAAGAAGTGATTGATGCTGACTTCCTATATCCTCACACACTTTTTTAAAAAGTCTCGACTGGAGTGGACGTGATTTAACGTAGTTTACAATTAGTACTGCTTGGTCGAGAACTGTCTTGAGCTCGTATTGCATTTTTTTTGCGACAAGGGCATGGCGATGTAAAACGCAGTGACTGCTACTACATTTAGGTGCAACCTCCTTGATTCTTGTTACAGTGCCTTTTATTTTGCCAACCATAGCTGCCGCTCCATCACTACACACGTAAATACATTTGTTCCAATCAATATGGTGCTTAGTCATGTAACTATCGATAACTTTAAAAATTTCTTCTCCGGTTGTGTTGGTTTCTATAGGAGTACAAAGAAACAAATCCTCTTCAATAGATCCTCCAAAGGGATATCTCACAAAAACAAGCAGTATTGATAACCCGACGACATCTGTACTTTCGTCCAGTTGCATTGCAAACATCTCGCTGGTCTTCAATCTACTAATTAATTCATCTTGAATATGGTCAGAAATCTTATGAATTCGATCAGAAATGACGTTATTTGAACACTGCACTGCTGACACTTTCTTTGCTGCTTCTTTTCCAAGTACACAAGTGACAATTTCTGTCATACATGGTTTTATTAAATCCTCTGCAATCGTGTGTGGTTTACCAGCACGGGCGATTTTGTAACTTAGCAGAAATGATGCCTCTGTTGCATTTTCATTATCGGTCTTTACAAATTTTTGTATAGCAGCTGCACCAGTTCTACGCACTTCTTTGTGTCTTTCAAAAAAGCTGACGCTTTTATCTTTCAGTTCTGGGTGGTTCGTGTCAAGATGTCGTTTAAGCTTTGCAGGTACCAGTGAGCTATTACTTATTATTTTGTTACAAATCACACATTGTCCATCCGAGTTCTCAGTCATTCCCACAGGAACAAATCCAAAGGACAAGTAGGATTCGTCGTATCTTCTCTTTTTTGAAGAAGTTTTCTCCTGGGTTGCAACTCTTTTGGTGATTGTATGTTGTATATTCAGTCCGGCACTAGGGTCTTGTGTATTTAGCAAACCCTGAAAAGAATTGACAAACAATGATAACCACCATAGCCATACGTATAATCGACAATAAATAAAATTAGTAAATTTAGTAAATAACTTGTATCACAGTAAATTACCCAAATAATTGTAAAAAAAACTTATGCATAACTTTCTTACCGACGATCCAGGAACATTTTCTGAAATATTTTCAATACACACTGCTGGTGGCTCTGAATTTAATGAAGAATCCGAAATCCTTTTGCCACTTGTGAGGCGCCCCGTTTTGAGCCAACTTTCCATTTTGAACTACCTACAATAAAAATAACACGTGAATATATCTCTCGTATTTTATTTCGAAAATGTGTCTACAAATAAACAAAAACATTGTGACTTACCAGTAAAAAAATTCCAGATCAATAGGTACCCAACAACAGGTATTTTTTCACTGCAGCTATTCACTAATTCAATAATTGAAATACGTGTGCTCTTATCGCGATCTAGACCGGTATAATCAGCCCCGCCGCGCCGTCGCGTCGCTGCAACACGGGCGCGCGGGGCGTGGGGGCTGTGCGCGCCAGTGTCTCCATATACACGGTAATTACCGGTTTTTTAAAATTTTATTAGTAATTAATTAAAAGCAAACATATTTGGACTTGGTTTGGTTCATAATGTTGTATTTTTCTTAGAAAAGTTACACGGTAATTTACACGGTAAAGTTTTAATAAATCCACCGTAATTTTATCAAGAAACACGGTATTTTTACCCTTGCAACACGGTAACTCTCGATTTACATATGGAGACATTGTGCGCGCTGTCACTATTTAGTAATCTGTGGCGCTGTACTACTTCGCCCGCACGCCCTGCCCCTATCTCGTGCGTAAACAAGTCGGTGCGCGCGAGCGAACAACGTTGGTCACGAAACGTGTGATAATATTTTTTACGGAACCCTTGCGGCCTTTCCACGGAACCCCAGGGTTCCGCGGACCACCTTTCGGGAACCGCTGGTCTACACTATGTCAGAAGGGGTCGTGACGGAAAAATCTTACACTTTTTCTCGCCTAGCCCCCATCCACCAAATTCGTACCGTCCAATAAGGAACTTCGTTCCAAAACTAAGTGGAAATGAAATGTAAGTGGTATAAAACTATAAGATTTAGTAGAGCGTTTGGCCAAACCCTCTAGCATGTAAAAATGGCGTAGTGACGGTAGTGTAATATTTGATTTATCAGGCATGATTATGTTAAACATATAATACTTATGTTTTGACTTTCGCTGACATTTACAATATTATATAAGTCGTGTGTTCTACTCTACACATTTACTATTAATTTCTGGGAGACTTCCATGTCCAATAAATTAAAAAAAAATCGAAGATATGTGAAGTCCACCAACAGGCATTGCGGTAGCGCGGTGGAAATTGTCCTGCTCTAAAGCCCTATCAGAACAAGGAGAGACCTGTCCCAGCAGTGTTTTTTTTAGGGTGACAAACAAGCACACAGTCCACCTGATGGGAAGTAGTTGATGTGGCCCATAGACATCTACATCTATTCTCAATAAATAGTCAAAATGCAGATGCGTCATCACCCGTTAGGACTAAGATGGAATGTTCTCTACACTCACCTAGCAGTCAAGCTGCCATTTTACGCCGGTATTCTGTGAGAGCGTGGTCCTTCCCCGGTTGAGCGGACCCATTCGTGCTACAACTATACTACTAATATAGCTGCAGTATGGCCATGTAAAAAAATGCATTGTGTGATGTATGAAAGCTTTTACTCAGTTCATAGATGCGATTGTTGTCTCTAAAAGGAATTTCATTGTTTGCTTAGATAAGAAATGTAAAAACAATTTCATTGTACGTCGTGTAGCGGCGACGTTAGAGAATCCACTATCCCCTATATTAAATACATTGTAATCGCAATTGATTAACAATTAAACAACTGAACACGTGAAGCTTTTCTTTATTCTCCTAAAAGTACAACGGCAGCAAAATCTGACAGCGCAAACGTCATTCTTTAAACGTTCGGAAACTATAATATCCTATATTCCCGTGGGTATCCTAAGAGGCAACAGAAGTTATTAAAAAAGAATGAAAAATACTTAAAAACTGCGGCTGCCAACCCACCTGCTACACGTATTACCAATGGCAATCCTTCTATGAAACTTTTAATAAGTTTCTTTACGTGGTAGAGCCATGCTGCCGCTATATTACGGTTGTAGCACGAACGGGTCGGCTGGACCGGGGTGGGACCACGCTCTCATAGAATACCCGCGTAAAATAGCAGGTTAACGCTGTTGTGTTTCGTATGGTGAGTGTAGAGAACTGGAGACCCTTTTTACTGGAAACGAGGCACTCCATCTTAGTCCTCAGGGGTGACAACGCATCTTCATTTTGATTCTTGATCGAGGATAGATGTAGATGTCTATTGGTCACATCTACTTACCATTAGGTGGACTGTGTGCTCGTTTGTCAGCCAAAGTCTATTTACGATTTTAGTGTTACTGGCGGGAGGCGATCGCAAGAGTGATGCAAGATCAATACAAAATCTAGTTAATTGAATATTTAGTTTAAATAAAAAAAAAACTGTTCAAATTAACTTACAAATGTCCAACTTCGTGCGCCGCAACAATAATCCCAGAAAAGCCACCCGTATCTTCAATTATGGCAACAGAGTTAACTTTTTCTAATCTCTTGTTGACAACACACGCACCACCCACATATGCGAATCCTGTATAATTAATTAGTATTAGAAATAGAGTAAGAAATTAGAAAAAAAAAATAATAAGATTTCATTAATAAAACCTGTAAGTTGTGACATTTCTATATGGTAAGTACATCATTTTAGGGAACATTTTACCAAAGTAAAAAAAAAAAACAAGGACAGAAAATGAATGATGATATGATTGAAATTTAAAGGTATTTTATATGTACTTATGAGATTTACACACAAATGATACTCTGGTGTATTTGGAATGTGATATGTGCGAAAACATAAATACGCAATAAATGTATTTACTTACGAAACAATTTGAATAGGATAATATAATAAAAGTAATTTAGCGTAATGTCTAAGTTAGTCATGCAAAGCTATAAAGTTTCTAGATTAATGTTGGGAACCGAGAGCCACTACAATATATTACAAATAACTTAATATTAAAGTATTTAGATATAAACCATTGACCGCATTCATATTAAGCACTAACTACGTGTAGGTACAAAAGATGCAATTTTAGAATAGTAAATACGCCCATGCATGCAGTAAATCAGAGAGATAGTTTTTCCCGCTATAACTGATAAAATATCAATATTAATCAATATTACAGTTAACTTTCGTACCAGTAAAATAACATAAAATTGAGAAATTTATTTTTATACTTTACATATTTATTATTTAAAAAAATAACCCTTCCCAAACATTAATAATTTCTAGAGGAGGCATTTTAAATAGATAGGTAATTATTTGTAAATTGCACATTTACAGTAGGCATATATAGAGCCTCAGTTGATTTTACGTGCGGAATACGACCCATGACCCGCAGTGCCGTAGTCATGCGCTTAGCCAATGCGCTACCGAAAATAGCTTCGTATAAAATTACATCGTTTCAGCAGCGATAAGATACATAGTCTGTTCCGCAGACGTGCAGTTGATACTGGGCATTGCGGTATAATGTCCCTATGATACGAGGTGGGTCGACAATTTACTCTGTCCTCGTGTCATTTAAGTAAGGTAGGGCCAACTGGTCTCATCAATATCTTTACGCAACTTTCTTGTTACTGTAAGAAGATATTCTAGTGATCTTTTGAAACGGTCTGAGTAAGCAGCCAATCAATATTACAAAATGAGTTGTAAGCTATTATATATTGTAGCATGGGCGCCGCCAGGATTACTTTCACAGAGGTGCATCTGAATCTATACATTATACTATTAACTAATATAAATTAAAGAATTATACATGTATTTATGTAGATAAATGTAATGCCAAATTCAAATCGCGCGGGTATATGATTGGGTGTATATTTCGCTCATCGAAAACATACTTAATGTTTGTAGTCGATGGTTGGCATTATTGTTCGGGAAATCCCCGCTGTCGCACGACATGCTTATTGCTTAGTGTACAATGGGAAAGAGTAGAAGAGGATACTGAATTTATTGACAAGGTGATAAACAAATTGATGGACAGCAACCTAAACGCCTTCAGTTTTTCTACGTATTTTCTTTCCGGACAGGGGGGGGGGGTGCAAGTGTACCCCCTTGCACTCTGCTGCCGGCGCCCATGTACTGTGGTACCATGCATAATTAGAATATACCACAAAAATGCATGCTTCTTTCTAAAACATAATAAATACATAAATAAAACGCATGCTTTCTTCATAACTATAAATAGTTACTGTACGTACATATGAGTCATTTACAACGATGAGGAAGTCATATCTAAAACATAATAAATAAATTTCGGTAAAATCAGATGATTTCGGCAATGAACGTATACATAAAAGACGAAAGGAAGTGATACCTAATCTACATACATAGTAATATAACTCCAAATCTATATACACGGAAAACTCAAGAAGTTTACACAATCTAGAAGAGAAGACTGCGACAGATAGGTATTATTGACAAGTGCGGATGCAGTCATGGAATCGGGTGTAAGGTATTGCGGATCATGATCCCATAGTGATATCGTGTACAAAAAAGGTGAAGGATTTTTAATGAAAATAAAGGCGTGCTCATGGGAATGTAGTGTTCTGCGAAACACGCGTACCTGCTGTCCCCCTATTGCACGCATCGTTCGCGTATTGTCTCCTGCACATGTCTAGTCTGAAAGCCATGGAAATAAATGAAACTAAATAAATTGATATCAATTTGCCCCACTTCTCTCTATTTCGAGAAGGGTAATGTTGGCTTTGTTGGTATATGAATATACCCACATTAGGTAACTCATTTGGAACAAAGTCTCTGTCGGAAATAGTCTGGTTCTGTCCAAGCAACTATCGTAGTTATGTCGTTTGCCAATATTTTTACTTGTAAATTTTTATAAATTTTTTTGTTAATTGTAATAATACATTTAAATTTAAAATTCCTCACCATTTAACATGAAAATGAGTTTATAAAAATTTAAAAGCAAAATATTGGCTCAGTGTAACATTCAGCGCCATTACCAATTCCTTTACCTCGTACATTAAAATTATCAAGCCGAATTATTTCACTTGTAAGCGTCTGTTAATGCTGATTTTTTTGTACCAGCCGTAGTCCTAAAAACATTTTTTTTTCAAAATAAATTTACCAGCGGTGCCTTTCGTGCAGCGACCACCCTTGCGTCGACGGCACATGTCATACCTGTTGATGAAATTAGGTTATCCATCTGCATCAGTTTTTTTATTTGGAGTTTACTACCTTCTTAATTTAAAAATCCGATTGTTAGACTAGACGGATTTTTCGTATTTACGTAACACACAATTTGCCGAGTATTTTCTTCTTTGTCTTTATTACAATATTTGATTCTGCGGAATTCTGACATTTTGTTAGGGCCTATTATATAAGTATGAGAGATGGTCTTATTTAAAACTGCACGCGCCTCCCTATATTTTTGGTAGATTTTATTACTTTTAAACATGCTAAAACCGACTAAAATACAAAAGTAAGAGCGTGCAGACTTAGATTTTATGATAGTAGATATGATAGATGATCAAAAATACAAGGGAGCCGCGTAGTTTTAAATTAGACGATCTTTACAGATGTATTTAATCATTTTATCTCATAAAAAATACTGGCTAGCTGCTGGTATGGTGAACCTGTGGCGGCAATACGTATAACTTCTTAAATCTTGAAATTTGTTTTATATATATAGTAATTTCATCGTGAAGACAAAATTTAAGTAAGTACTTAAGTTTATTCTCAATGAAATTAATATTAGCAAATAAATAAATTTCTTTTTATTATAAGTACTTACTCTTTATTTAAATACGTAAATAAATTTTTAAATTACTTTAATTAAACTTTATTATACGCACGCAAGTATATGAGGATCTAATATAATATTGAAAAGGGTTTTTGAAAACTTATAGGTACTTATTATTGGGATAGCAAATGTCAGAATTGCGTAGAACGTACGTAACGTACTTTATAGTTTAAATAATGGCGCCAAATTTGACAATTGTAGTGGTTCAAAACTTACCTTTAATGTCCATCTTCATTGTTTGCGCAAAATAAAGAGAGTGTGAAACTTTGTTTCATATAAAAGACACAATTAGAATACATTATGTTTTAACTTTTTACATATTACATAATATGATTCGTTTAGCATTAACGGAAAATATGCATTTATTAAACGGTCACCATCAAGGTTTCCATAATTTAAATTTATACTTAAAACGTTGATATTTTTAAATTTGTAAGTACTTTTTTTTTCATCAATTTCATCGCTTGTATGGCTACAGGTCAGATTCTGGCAACTGTTAAAAATGCGTGTATGGCAATATGATTATAGCCAGTATTTGGTCACTGTATTTTAACATTTTCTCAGTGAAAAGTATTAACCATATTGTTTTAATTTATATGAAAACTTTTAAAAAAAATCAAAGATAACATTTAACGCAAAACTCAAAGCGTCTATCTATAAATTTACATTTTTAAATAATTGTTCTGGTTTATAATTTCAATTTATTTTTTAAAGCTTGTTATAAACAATAATTAAGTTTAAGATAATATTTTTTATACTACCCTCCACTTAAAAAATGTGTCTACCCTACTTTTAGCTAAAAATGTAAAAAAAAATGTAGCGGACACATTGCACTACGACTATCGCTATAAGTGTGAAGATATCATAGTGGTTGCCTACTAGACTGCCTAGTGTTCTAACTACTTATGTTAAAATATTCCCTATGAGGCAATTTATTGGGAGAGCCCTATGTTCAGCGTTGTGAACGAACGAATTGAATGAATTATTATTTAATTATATTTCATTGTTGTTGTAACATATATTTCATATTAATTATTAATTGAGTGAACGAATGAATTAATGCCCGGGATTAATTTTTTAATAGATTTTTTTTTTATGAGTTTTGGTGAAATTTTGCCGGATCTGTTTCCCTATTTTGAGCTCACGTATATTATTTAATACAAACCCCATAACTGTGCTACGCGCACTACTGCTAGTAGCAGCTTGTCGAATTATATGTATGTAAAATCGAAATATATCTATTATATTGGGACTAACTTTGTATAGCAAAAAGGTCAAAATAATAAATTTCTGACTGCATCTTAAGACGAGTTACAAACTTACAAGTTTTAGATTATATTAAACTTATGTTCCATAAAAGCCTACGTTTGACTACATTAATATGAGCGTTTCCCACAGTGCATTTACATTTATGTTCACTTAGATATTTCATAAATCACAGATTTATAAATAAGTTGGATGTATTCCTACCTAAGTTTTGCCTTTATGTTTAATAAAAAATATGTTTATTTAAAAAAAAGATATTTTGGTAACCTTAATTCAGTTTCCGATTTCTGCCTCTATTTTAATATAAGTAGCTACCTTTGTTCTTTGTACTTTATTATACAAACAAAATATGTACAGATTCCACTTTTTTTTTTGGTTTTCATAACTACAAATATTTAGCAACTTTCATGAGTATTTTGTTTGTTAGTATCATTTTCTTTATTGTCATTGTCAATGTGCAAGAAAATATATACCTAGAATATGTACCTTTTACGTAAAAATAAATATTTTTTGTTATGAATATTCGTATATATTATATGACTTATACTATAATGCAACATATTGGATCTTAAGAGACTTGAATATTACATATGATTTATGTATGAGTAATGTTGAATTAAAAATAAAACTCACTTGGTTATTGCAACAGCAATGTCATAGACTGGCAGACGTCGCTCTCTGAACAAATACTTGCCCATGTCAGTGAGCGCGGCTGCCGAGTCGATGGCGTCGCGGCCGACACGGTTCCTTTCCAGATAGGGCGTGGCATCTCGACCCTGCGTTTACCAAATCCTTGACACTTAAGAGCATACCATACTACACATGTGAATTATTATACTTTGGTATCAATATTAATACTTAGTTTCATATCAACTAGCAGTTCAGTTAGTGGTAAACAGATTTACGCTGAGACTTTAAGTATAACAAATTAAACTAAGTATTAGCGTGTAGTGGCTATGTAAGAATATCCACTAAACCATATCATCCCGTGGGTGTCGTAAGAGGTGACAGAGTGAAATTGAAACAGGACATGGGCAGCAGCATCTTTCTGATAACAATCTAAAATTATTAAAAGAACTGCGAATGCCAACCCGCCCGCCAAGCGTGGCCACTATAGCAAAATCCCCCTATAGGACAATCTATGGGGGAGGCCTATGTTCAGCAGTGGACTTTAATAGGTTGTAACATTGAGATAATATGTTACTACGAACATATTATCTCAATGGGTTGTAATGGAAACTTACGTTTAAAAATGCTTACTATACTTCTAATCTTATTCTACGAATACCATATATTGAATAACATAATTTTTTCAGGTTTTAAGGAAGAGCCAGAATTAACTTTGACATCAGGACGTCAAACATGTTCGCCTCGCTTGGCCAGGAATGCTAAAAAGTACTGAAAATGTCAGATCGTATTTGATCAAATTAAACGCGATAAATTTTGTACCGTTGAAAATGTTAAACAAATGTTAGTTTTAATATATTTATGTTTTCTTTAAATCATAGATTACTAAAAATTCGTGTTCTATGCCAGTGTAGTTTTTCCACGGACGAGCTGACTCATTCGCGCTGCAGACATAATAAGACGTATAATATTTTTAATTTATATATCAAATAGCTTTTAATAATTAAAACAGTAAATAGATAATAATGGATGTCGCATTTCGGCAAATTATTTTCAAGAAACGAAGCACGTTTGATGAGAGGCTAACTTATACGGCGTGCACCCTGCTGAGTGACGCACAAAGTTCTGAAGACCAATGAAAAGCTACAAAACACTCAGGATGGTGACGGGGAGTAACATTACCGTTGCAATGAAATCGGCTGTGCACTCACTATATATATGAGAGAATATTAATGATAGATATTGTTTCAGAATAAAAGGCTGTAGAACAGCGAGAGATAAGCCTTTTTTTGGTTGAGTTGCTAGATTGTTTGTAGATTGTAGAGTAATGTTCATTCAAAACTTAGTTTGTGGCAACGATAACATTAAATAGGCTAACATTTTATCGACAGTTCTGATATATTTGTATCACGGTATCGCTATCAATACTAATATAACGTATATAATATATAATAACGCCCTAATATAACGTAATGTTCCTAACCTTGAATCGTCGAAATCTCTTAGTTACTTTAAATTTCCAAGATTCAGACAAAAACTTATTTGCAAAACTTTTGCCAAACAACATCTTTATCTTTTTCGCAAAAACAATAACATAATAACATTAACCTCATTAGTTTTGCAGGTGTCTCTAATTTATTTCACATTATTCAATATTTCGTACTAAAACCGGTTTTGAGATTTATCAATTTGTTTTTCTCTAGTTTATTTTGTAAATCATTAATTAATGATTATGAAGCAATAAAACAATCAATGTGTATAAAATTTTAACGAATGGCTACGAAATTAAATTGAAATGAATTGTTTTATGTACCGCCTGTCTTCTTAATCTTCGATTGTAGTCCAGTATTAGTTATATTATTATTAAAAGCCTGAAACATTAACACCTTTGTAGTTTGTACTCGGAATAATAAAAAAACTTTTCTTTTTAATACTAAATTTTTTGACAGCGTGTATTGTTTTCATTTTGCGCTGCGTATATTTCAATTGACGCTTAAACCTGTGCCGAAACCATGCTATACTTACTTCTTGGCATGGACTAACGAACACATCTTTCCTCTTTCATTCTTAAACACGTATTTTCCTTCCGTTATCTGCCGACTTCCAAAAAGGAGACGGTACTCAATTCGACTGTATATTTTTTTTATGTGTGTTACCTCATAACTTTTTACTGGGTGAACTGATTTGGATGATTCTTTTTTTATTTGAAAGCTGGTACTTCTCGTGTGGTCCTATATGAATTTGATCAAGGTCAGAACAATAGTTTTTGAGTTATTCTTAATAACTCAAAGTCGGCTGTACAAAATTTTTAATTTTAAATTATTCTTTAGCAGCCCGTAAAAATCTATTGCTGGACGCACACATACATATATAAATCTCAAACCAGGTTAGTTGCAAATGATTTAAGATGCATATATTATGTGCGCGAGTACAATAAGTTGAGCATGGTTTGGTTGGCATGGTCACTTAAAATGTCCGCAGCGCTTCGTCGTCCTACCTTTGTGGAACGTGAAGTTCACAAGTAAAGTGAATTACAATGAAATTTCAATAGAGTATGTAAGTTTTCATATAAGGCTTACATTTATTAAAAAAATAATTTGTAGACATGGTTTTAATTGATTTTTGACAATTATAACAAAAATGTATCTTTTCGAACGGAGTTAAATCAAAAGTTATTGAATTCACTGAAATACAATTTAGACCAAATAGTATGTATCTCACTACACGGATTATTTAAAGTAACCCTCGGTGAAATTTATTTTATTTCACAATCTATAATACCTACTATTGTAATTGATTTAGTGTTACTAACTCCAAAAAATATTTAGCTCTAAAGGTTAAGCCGAAAACCCCTAAAATCACTTTATTTTCTTGAAAATCCGCTAAAAATAAGTATAATGCTTTATAATGTTCATCATATATAAATTATTTAATATTTAAAATATTATTTCGTTTTCTTCTGACGGTTATATTCAAATTATTCATTTGGATATTAAATAAACATATATTTTAGGTAATGAATTTAATGTTATAAATGATGAGCTATTTTGTTGCAATGTGAATCAGATCATCATCACACTTGGTAGCATTTCAATAGATAACAAGAAATTGCAATCGTGATAATTAATGCAAAATATACAACCCGAATTTTGAGACATTTTCAAAAGGTTTACAGCCAGCTGCGCTGCAATCATCGTAAACTTCTAAACAAAAATCAGCTGAAGTGGAAAAAACAATAATAGTCCCTAAAAATATGAAGCCCTTAAAAATCCCATCCCCCTTATTTACCCCCTAACTTTAGGGGGAAAACCCCTAAGTTGGGAACCCTGAACTGATTGAACTTTTTTTGTCTTGCTATGGCGCAAATAAAGTCGCTCAGCCTGTATGACAATGAACCAAAATTTTTATTAAAACTATTCAAATCTCATATTTAATTTCCTAAGAAAGAAAATCATATTTTTCTTTGAATATTAAATTAGTATTTTCATTCATTTAATAAAAATGTGTGATATTCTTTTCGCAATAAGGAAGTATTGGGTAGTTCAAAGTCTATAATTTAGTAACTAAGAAAATTAAAAAAAAAGATAATCATAATGACTACATTCCATTTGCATAATTTAAAATAATGATTACAATTTAATACATGAATTATTAATAAGAATATTTCACTGTTAAATTTACATACATACTTTAATTCTTTTAAACTACCTACTTTTTTTTTAAATAGCGCAATCATTAAATATGGCTCTATGTACGTTTTACTGTTATACAGAGAAAAAAAAAACATTAAATTACTTTTTATGTAGCAAAATCACTTTATTATAAAAACTAATTAAAGATATTTCGTGCATACAACTATTTATTAAAATAAAATGGCCAGTGAAACGGTGTTGAAGTATTTACAGGATACGAATAGGCCCTATTCTTGTGCCGATATAACAGTGAATTTAAGGGGCGCGTATACAAAGTCCGTCATACAAAAGACGCTTGATGCATTGAGTGAGGCGGGAAAAATAAAATGTAAACTCTATGGTAAACAGAAAGTTTATGCTGCAATACAAATTGATACTAATGAAGATAGTAGTGACATTGAAGGTAAATAGATAGATTATTTTAATATTTATTCTACTAATGAATTTTATGGGGTTTTGCTTTAGCAACAAGAAATGAGATGAGGTGAGGGTTGAGAGGGGTAACTTTCGCCTGCACTTCCCGCTCCGCGGAAATTTATATTTTTTATGCATTTGTGTAAATTAAATAAAGTAGTAAAAACATATTTTCAGAGTTATAATTTAAAAAAGAATTAGTCAGTAATTAAATAGTGGCGAGAGGGTGAGTGCGGGCCTCAGAGCATTATTAGGTAGATCCATTAGGACCGTAGGGTCTTAAGGTCAAGCCCATTATACATATAACTCAATGAGCCCATTATTTGTTTTTATTGGAATTTTACTTATACTTCGTGAATAGTAGTATTATTTAATAGAGTACATAATAAAAAGTATTTTAGTAATTATGTTTACCGGTTTTTAAGATGTATGTACATGCATAGTACCTACTTATGACATGTGCTTATTTTATTAATTTAGATTTATTTTAGAAATACTAAATTAGGGCTTTCAATGGATCACTGTAATGCACATAGTTATTAAAAGTAAGAATTCATGATTGTAGTTTATTAAGTATTTGACACTGGTCGGATAAACTCAATTTTTTTAAACTTTTTTTTTTAAATAAATTTACAGAACACAGTTAGAAAGAACGAAGTTATTCGTCTGGTAATATTTTTAAAATATTTTTACATGTAGACGTTTTTGTATATTCATTTACTGATTGCAGACTTTGATTTGAAATTTAAAAGTGCCACACAAGATTTAGTTGAGAAAAACATCGCCTTGAAAAACGCTGAGTCTAATCTTAAAAACTTGTTATCAACTCCAACGACCGAATCTGCAAATTTTCAAATAAGCGAAAAGCAAGATGGTATAAATCGCTTGGAGAAAAAGCTTGAATCGTTGAGGTGCTCCACTGAAGTAATGAGTGCGGATGTAAAGAGAGCTATCATGGATGAACATCACTCTCTTCTAAGAGAATATAGGTAAAATTTATAATGTTAACAAGAAATTCGAGAAGACGATTATGATTTAGGCGCAAATTATACAGAAGCCGTCGGTTCAGCTTCAAACTTTTTCATATAAAATGTTTGAAAGCGCATGGCGCAGGCATGCCGCTTTTATACGTTCCACTCTTGCGGCACGCCTGTGTTGTGCCTTCGCCTTATGCCGCTTCTGTATAATTTGCGCCTTAGGATAACTTCATTTTTACATATGGTAAGCAAGTGCTTGACCGCAATCCCAGTTGGTGGTAAGTGGTGACGTAGCCCTAGACGGTAAATCGCATTGTCTTAGCGTAACAAAATTGATTGTATTCGGACGGAAAGATAGACGCCGGAAAATTATTCCACTCCTTTGCTGTACGCATTACAACAGACGAAGCAAACTGTTTGGTTCTAATGCGTGGAATATTGACAACAAAGAGGTGAAGACTCGCCGACCGCCTAGTTGTCCGATGGTGGAAAGGAGGGGGAGGAATTAAAGCATGTAATTCCTGCGCACTCTAATTATTACACTATCTATATTATTTCGGAAAATATAATATTAATTACGAAGTATTAAATCAAATATTGTTTTTATATATTTATTTACACAAAATAGCATTAATTAACATTGTTTACTATAATATACAAACTAAAAGTAAAATTTAGAAAATTATCAAACAGTCCTACTCCGTTGTGTTTCCTCACTGAATGGCTATACTTAATTAACCTTTTGAGCGCGAAAAGAATCAGCCCTCTTGTCACCATCGGCTACAAGTACCTTGTATGTATTATTAGTTCCTTTAAGAATAATAATTTATATTTCTAATATTAGTAATTATATTTTAAGGAAACGTAAGAGGATCTGTACGGATATGATTGAAGCGGTGTTAGAAGGCTACCCGAAATCGAAGAAGAACTTTCTAGAAGAGCTTTGTATAGATACGGATGAAATGGTCAATTTCAAGTTAATGTCTAATAATTAAAACTATAAGTAAAGTCTGTCTTTCCTGAGTTTGTGAATTATGAATTGACTCATTTCATTTCTCCAACTTTAATTGAAATTTGTTAGACTTTATTTTCAAAAACACACAAATGAATAAGTTCTCCACTTTGTATCAATAAGATAAAATTATCTTAACCGAAAGAAGTTTGTTTTCTTGACTTTTTTGAAGAATACAGCTAATATTACAAAGAGAAAAGAGTAATGTTTTAACACTCACCCTCGATATGATGATACCGGCAATAGATATTCGTATTCTGGGCCCTTTCAAAAGCTTGTACCGGAGATCGACGCCGTTCCAAAACGACACGAAGTAGCGTTTTATCTGTACGTTATCGCCTCCATGCAATCTGTTCAAAAAACATTTTTTTTATTTTATATAAGAAACTAGCGATCCGGGTGATTTCTGGATCTCGACAACGGCGCCACCTACCGGGTCTAACTGTGCACCTAAACAATCTAGAAACTCACACACAAGTTTCAACAAATTCTGCCGAGGCATTTTCGAGTTCTCCCCTTTTCATTCCATTGCTAAAGCTCTATAACTTCTCAGAAATAATAGGGGGCCTGTGCCCAGCAGTGGGACGTATATAAACTCAGATTAAAGATTGTGCTATAAACGGAGTATAAAGAATGTAACTTTATTAACACAAATAATTAGAACCTTATAAATATATCCCAATTTATATATCCCAGGTATAGGTAATATTTTAGCCTTTGTAATTTTACGAATAAAGTAATTTTGAGAAAGAAAAAGAACGAAAGGAAGAAAGGTAAAAAAAAAAAGTAAAAACTTTGTAGTGTGACCACCTGGTAAGACTGGCTCAGGACCGTATTGTATGGAATTCCTTGGGGCAGGCTTATGTTCAGCAGTGGATTTGTGATGGCCTGTAATTATGATGGTGATGATGATATAATCGATTTATAGTAAGGTTTATTATACCTGTATCCGTCGTAATCCACAATGACGAGAATTTCCGGGTAAATAACGTAGGGTGCTTCTCTCTTTCGCCGGCTATGCGATTCTGTTGAGCGCCTCCGCCTGTATCTCTTGCCTATATGGTCCGGTTCCATAAACGCTGGAACAAATGGCAACTTTTATTATCAAACTCTTGAAAATTATTCTAGAAAAAAAATCTAGGCATAACTACTAATGCCTAAAACATTTTATACATATAAAATGCTGTATGTAATGCTATAATACGCTGTTAAAAAAACCTTTTAAAATCAAAATAAACTGTTGGAGAGTTGGCTAACATTTGACGTAATTATGACATAGTTACACTACCTTCTATCGGAGGGGTTCAGTTCTTTTGTAGAGTTCCCATTCGCCTCTGACAACTCCTAAGGTACATGATATATACGGTTATTTTGCAATAACCAGCCAGAAGGTTCAGAATAAGTAAATAGTATAGGCAAATGGTGAAATAAATTAATCAAATAAAATCTCAAATATTCTGTTCTTTTTATCTTTTAAATTCAAATGCGTGGTAATGCATTATTTTAACTGATTTTATTGCGCACGCACACATTCGTAAGGGTCGATCGGTAAGCAAAAACGTTGTAGCCCATAAATCACATTCAATTTGGGATAATTTCAGATAAAAGTAGAAGTTTTATTTACTCGTATTTTCATAAACTGCATTAATGGTATATCATTATTTATATATTTGAACTTAAGTTTAAATTTGGCTACTCTGAAAAATAACCCTGTATATTCTTTGTAAATGTCAAGGCAATCATAAGGCGATATCATTTAATAGACGTAAAATGAATATATATATGTAATATAATATATATAAATATAACTTCATTAAAATTGAAATTTAATAATCGCACATAAATTTATTGCATGTCGTGGTTAACACAGATTGCTTATATTTTGAGTATTTTTTATGTAGAAATTTAAATAACACGGTTTTTCCTACATTTGCCGCAGTAAAAATTTTCTAATGTTTTATATTGAATAATTTTATATATATCTTAATAATATAAAAAAATACATTTAGAATGCAAAACAGTTGATTAGAATAAAGATTGAGCGCGCTTAATAATAACGAAAAAAAGAATAATATAATGACATGGCGCCAAAATTATTTGATATTATTTACACGTATTCAGTTTTTATATCAGAATTTAGGCTAGATTAAGGTCAAAAACACAAGGCCATAAAATTTTATGAAACTGCAATAGAACTTGACAGCTTAACATCCGATCAGATCTCGTCTTTTTTCGGTGAAGTCTAAAACCTCGAGCGTCGTTTGTACCATTGACTCCCATATCACATTCATACTTTTATGGGGTATTCAATTTATAGCGAGGGTGACAATACAGCACACAGCCCACCTGATGGTAAGTGAATGCTATAATCAGTAGATACCTAGGTTTTTTACCTATCCACGATAAAGAATCAAATTAAGATACGTTATCTAGTCACCCCGGGGAATAAGATAGTATGCCCAATTACCAGTAAAAAGGTTCTGCGGTTCTCTCCATCCACTATACGAAACATAGTAGCACTAAGCTGCTATTTTCTGCTATTCGCTGGTATTCTGCGAGTCAGTTGAGTGTCAGTTACTGTGTAGTGGCGGAGTAAGAATATTCACTAGCCCATATCATCCTGTGGGTATAGTAAGAGATGACAAAGGGAAACTAAAACAGGAAATGAGAAGCAGCATCTTGTTGGTGACAACTCAACATAATAAAAGTCTGCGGTTGTCATTTTGCCGGTCAAGCGAGTCAACTGTAGCAAAATTGGCCCTATGAGTCTATGGGGATGCCTATTTTTTTTATAGAATAAGGGTGACAGACGAGCACACAGTGCACCTGATGGTAAGTGGTTGCCGTGGCCCATAGACATCTACATCTATCTTCGTTTACGAATTAAAATGAAGATGCGTTGTCAGCCGAGAGGACTAAGATAGAATGCCTCTTTTCCAGTAAAAAGGGTCTTCGGTTCTCTACACTCACCATACGAAACACAGCAGCATTAAGCTGCTATTTTACGCTTGTATTCTGTGAGAGCGTATTTTCTATTTTCAGCAGTGGATTTATATAGACTGTAATGGAACGAATAGAAGGATTCTGTGAGAGCGTGGTTCCACCCGGTTGAACTGACCCATTTGTGCCGTAATCATAATACAGCTGCAGGCTGCAGCGTGCCTTTACCACGTAAATTTACTTAACCAAATAACAAAACACTTAATACACAAAGTCTATATAACTTTGGGTTTTCCTAAAAATAATAATATTCCTATTTTAAAGATTAATGAGAAGCGTTATGAGCACACTAGAATTTATAATAAGTATATGACGTAAGACTGGTTGGTTACGACTTGACCTTATGAACTCCGGTCGTAAAGTTTGGATTTTAAACAGTTTTATTACTAATATTGTTAGTGGCAATATCAATCAAATATCAAATATAATATATCAAATAAATATCAAATTCATCACATTCACAATTCACAACACAATTTATGATCACAATTGTGACGTTTTTAAAACATTTATTATTTAAATAATATTTTCCGCAATTCGATCTCGAATTCGAACTGCGCTTCTGTACATTAATTACGGATCTTTAATAAATCGACAGAATTTGATACATTCGACAACAAAGGACTTATGTTTTAATATTCAAAAGTTAAATAGGACCTTATTCGATATTTTTTATAGTCGTGGTAGCTTAGGGTTTAAGTGGTCGCTGTAATAATAATGTCCTCCAGACCAAATTTTAGTCACGGCAGCCAGGCTCAACGGAGTCTAGCCATCTGCGTAGGACAGGATTATAGTGCCCCAGTGTATACGCAAGCACAAGTGCACCCTCTATTCTCTCACTCTTATGGTCCGATAGGTCGGTTATCCGACTCGACCGGAGATAGATCAGGCGCACACGGTTGAAACACCTACAAATTCCTGATTAAGACCAATTACCTTTTTTAGCCCGACCTGGGATAGGAACCACTAGATTTAACGGGGCAGTCCAACTCGCACTGGTAAGAAAATGTCCGCCACGCTCTATCAACTGCCATTGGGGCAGCGCGTTGGACATTTTCTTGCTCTAAAATCCACTCAAATATGAGAAGGATGCAACTTGAAATAATTTTTTTATTATTGGTAATTTAAAAAAAAACTACGTTCAATAAATTGATCAAATTGAGGACCCCGGCTATTTCATGAACTAGCTAATCAAATGTTATATTAAGCCTTTTATAATTTATTTTAGCAATAATAAAATAGGGCCAGCTGGCCGTAAGAGGAAGCTCAAAGTCACTCAGCGAGCTATGGAGAGGGCTCGGGGTTTCTCTGCGTGGTAAACATAGAAATGAGGATATCCGCAATAGAACTAGAGTGACCAACACAACCCAACGGATTAGTAACTTGAAGTGGCAATGGGCCGGCCATGTAGCTCGAACAACCGACAGCTGATGGGGAAAAAAGGTTCTCGAGTGGCAGCCTCGTGCCGGTAGACGAAGTGTAGGGTGACCTTCCACTAGATGGAGTGACACAGTGACTGATAAGACTTGCAGCAAGTCGATGGGTGCAGGTGGCTCAGGACCGTGCTTTGGGGCATTCCTTGGGGGAGGCCTATGTTCAGCAGTGGACTTGGGAAGGGTTGTAATGATGATAATGATGATGATGGATGGTAACTTGCAGTACGTCTGGTAGAATGGTGATGGCGGTATGAGTTTATGAAGCTCAAAGGAACACACACAGGGTTTTGGGGCAAGGAAGTGTCAGCCGCGCTGCCCCAATGTTTGTTGACGAACTTCCCATGTCTTCGGAATATATATTTTTTCTTACTTCTCCGACATGCAGGTTCACTTAAAATTGCAATTAACAATTTCGTTGCTGCCGGCTGGGATCGAACCCGGGTTGCTTATTGTGATGTGTAATGATGATAATAAAATATTTTTCTCAAAGTTGGAAAATAATAAAATAACTTTGGTGCGGCTTTATTAATATTTATAATTAATTAAAAATAATATGGACACGAATCATAACCTGCCCCATCATAACTACATACGCCGATGTAAACAAGTTTCGATTTCAATTAACATTTGGCATAAATTGACATATTCTGCTCTGTGAGTGACTTTAACATAAACTATAATTAGCAAACTATTATTAATTATAATTATAACAAGAATAAACTCGTTAGTTTATTTTCAACGATAGGAAAAATATACAAAAGTGTTTTTAGGGGTGCTGCATAAGTCTTGAATATTTAAAAAAAAAACATGCGTGAGTATCGTGGAACACTCGGTTGGTACGAAGTTCCTTTCGTAGTACATTATTATTATATTTAACAAATAAAAATAAATGAATTACTAGCGTCTATTAAAATGAAACGTCATTTAAAATAAAATAATATTTCTTTCATGGAAAGATAAGAAAAAGTGCGAGGCAGATGGATATTATTTCATTTCGCTTCCTTATAGCCGCCAAGGCGATCTTCACTACGTCAGAAGCGGTCGTGACAGAAAAATCTTACACTTTTCTCGCCTAGGCCTCATCCACCAAATTCGTATCGTCCGATAAGGAACTTCGTTAAAAGAATACAAAATTTTAAAAAAAGTTCGTTGAAAAAATTTTCAATAGATACTGTGTACTACTATAATACTCTATGGATACCAATTTGCACGATAAGAATATTACTGGTGAAATTTAAACCAACCATAGGCGAATTATTGCCGATTGCTTATCGTTTATATAACTCTTGAAGTAGATTTTGAAACGCTAAAGTGTTGTGATTTTGTGTTTGAACTATTGCTGGAAAGGGTGAAACTAGTGCTCTAATGATGATATGAACGGTGATGATATACGAGTGTGTTGGTGGCTTGAGATAAAATCGTCAATATTTTCTGGGTTGATAGAGATGATGTTGTGACCAGGATTAAGAGAGGAGTCCTCTGCCTACCCCTCTGGGTGATGGGCGTGAATGTTTATATATTATGTAAGTCCTGAGCTAAGCTGTCGTCGAAATTTCCCAAAAACGACGCAATATACATCGTGCGATTAATACTTTGCCGATTTCGAATTATTGGAAATCCTGCTAATTATATTAATTTGTTCA